AAATGAAAGAAGTTCTTAAACTTGAACCAAGAACTTATATACAATCCAGTTTCCACATATAGCCTAAACTTATAACTCAATTTGACGTGAATACAAAAAATAGTTTGGGGCGTTAAGGAGTGGATTCTTTCATTGCGTGACTCTTTTCAGAGTGATTGATTAAAATAAACACAAATAGCAACGAGCTTTTGCAACATTTTCGATAAATGGAAATAGCTGTATTGAACGAAACTCAATAAGTCAAGATTGAACTACGAATAATCTATCACAAGTTTGTTACACAAGGAAGTTTAATTCGTCAGCTTTCATCTTTAAAATAACAAATTTCAACGTAGACTCATTTGTGGGATCAAATCATGGATAATTTGGACCCGATTATAAGAGTCTACTATTGAGTTTCGAATTCAACACTAATATATATGTATAAGTATTCATTACTGTGCTTTGTAATTAGAGCTTTGGCAATTAAAACAATGGGAAATCCAATAAATTATGGGAAAGTCGAAGCTTACCATAACAAAACAATAATAACAATATTGTGTAACCTGTAATTAATTTTAATCATGTTACACTTGTTTCTGCCATCAGATCAGAGCAATAACAATTCACTTTTAGACCCAATTTGGTGCTTCATAAATATAGACTGTGCAGGAGGCGAGTTACTTAACTACAATGACCTCCAATTCGGTTTTATTATGAATTTAAGAGAGACTATAATGCACACCACATACTCTGCCGACGGCCTTTCATAAAGTTTGCTTAACTTACGCCCCAGCAAGCGGCCAACTTACTTAGGCACTTTGATGTGAACCGCGAGCCTTGACAAGGCCAAGTGCCAAAAGGGGCGTGGTAAGGAGGCACGCCACTCAAAAGCCGCAGCTTTTGCAGCACACGTGTGTGTGTGTGTGCGGTCTATACTATTTTCAGGGACTGAAAGCCAACCATTAGATATGCAAAGTCAAACACACCTATGCAAGCTGCCAGAGGCGATGGACTCAACTTGTTGGCATACGCGACGTATGCGCAATGTGTGTGTATTGCAATGGAACATGGTCTGTTTATGGGGGTTGGGCTTTGCTACTGCTTGTAAGTCTACTGTGGCAATTTTACGCGCTGATTGACTAAATACACGGAAGGCGAAACCATATGGAAGCTAACTGTTTACTCTTGCATTAATTATAACAGTGTAATGTGTGCATATAAATAAATGACCAACTGCAGGATTCGTCCTGGCGACATCTGTCTGGCATTCGAGTTTGACAATTTGTTACATGATTCGATGTGGCTTGTGCTTTGTCCTTTGCGCTTTTTCTTTTATTCTGGTTTCCTTATTGATTTAATGTCTAGCAAACCGAAAGCATAATATGCGCATAAGTATGCTTAAGTAAACATGTATTTTGTTTGTGCACATATATTTTCTGTCGATCATTGTATATTTCAAATTGAATTATATCAAAGTGAATACACAGCAAAAGTCAGAGTCAGAGCTATAGTCCGAATCATTGAATAGGGACCAACACGTAGCTGACTTGTTATCTCTTTGTGGGTGGTTGGGTGGCTGGTTGCCAATTTAAAGGCTTGACATCTGTACACTGCTATGCACAGAGCAAGCAAGCAACACAACATGAAATACAGTCAGGACTGTGGCATGACAAACTGATGCTGTGTTTTCTTTCTTTTTTTTTTTTTGGTTTGGTTTTTGGTTTTCTGTACCTAAATGATTTCTTTTGTGGAATTGATAACTCCATGTCTGTGTGTGGGTATTTCTGTATGTTCGACTTTTTGTATGACACATTTAAAATGCCTTGGCTTTGGCTTTGGCTTTGACTCTGCCAGAGTCGCCCTTTGGGGGATTTTTAACAAATTAAAGTCGTGTACAGCTGCAGGGCAAACAGAACTTTGACAAGGGCTTTTTGTAAATATCATTGGCACATATATGTATGTATATATCGTACATACATTGAACGGGCATGTGGCTGGATACGCCAACAGACGACAGCTATATATATATTTATATATATATATATATATATGTGTGTGACGGTTGTGCACATATCGAGCATTTCAGTGGCTTATGTGAATACAATTGCTGTGTCATTCTTGTCAAAATTAATCGCAAAATGCCAGATAGCTAAATTTTAAATCAATTGGACATCATGAAATATTAAATTTCCTTTCGATTTGTCAACAATTTGTATGGCTTCAATAACTAATCAGCTAAAATACATGTTTGAGATAGATTAGTTTACTCTTGAATTGATTCCGACAAGGACAGCCGGTTGATATTATTATCTCATCATTTTTTTTTTTAAATATTGTCCCAGATTAAGTTAGATACAAACTTTATACATTTTGCGGTTGATAAGTAGCTGCGCAAAACTTTCTGAAAACTTTTCTCACATTTTCCACACCTTGTTCTTTTCCCCTGTATATATTTCATATTCCACAACAGTGCTCATGAATGATGAAAACAATAGAATTTAATTTGCATGCGCAAATAAACTCTACTTTAAATTTATAGTGTTTTCTGTTTAAGAACCTCAGTCCCTTGTGTTATATTTGTCTGCGTTGAGAGGAACCAATTGCTGAAGCTCGCATTTTAACAACTCACTTAGCGGGCACATTAAGAATTGAAACTTGCTGCCGCAGCAATTTTGACGCCCAGCCCAGCCAGAGTTCGTGCAACAGAGGGTAACTTACGCAAAAACTAAGACAATTTGCAACGAGGACTATAAATATTTTTTTGGCTGACTGCAGATGTAATGCCCACGAGCACAAGCAGAGAATGTTAAAAGAAGTCCTGGCTACGTGCTGAACATAAAGTGAGTTTAGTCCCTATATGTTGGCCATTCCCTACACAGGATAAGCCAAATATTAGCGGTTTACGGTGTAAGTCACCATCTTTTTCACGCGCTTTGGCCGCAATTTCGATTGGCATCTGTCATATTTTTAGTGAAGAAATTCCTGTCAGAAATATATACACGCATATTTCCATTTTTATTTTGTTGCCATCACATCCATCATTCACGACATTTATTTGTTTAATTTTAAAATATGATTTTAACGTCGTATATCATTTATAAAAGTTTTTGCTTATTGCTTTTTGTAAATTATGCGCTAAATTGTAGTTGGCAATGATTGATTGGCAAGCCAAAATAAATTTGTGGTTTTTTGTTTATTATTTTTTGTCCCTCCACAAGGAATGTTTGTTTTGGAATATTTGCTTTGAGCCTGACGCTTGTAAAGCAAGTCATAAACATATTTCACGACGGAATAAAAAGTGAGTGCGGCAAAGCGAATGAAATAACAAACGTTGTAGGTCATGTGTCATTTTCAGAGTTCTCAGCTCTGTTCGTTTCCATACTCCGGACACAGTTGCATGTTGCTTATTTGTTTGCACTTTGTTAGGAGGCGACCAAAAAACTTTAACAACAACATTTTTGTGAGTCTGGCCCGCCAACGGCTGAAATTGAATATTTTATTTTTGCTTTGTCTCCTTTGGCATTGTTCTTGTTAATGGTGGGGTAAGGTAAGTTAAATATCTGAATACTTCAGCTAACGTGAAAAATTGTTGATGAGTTTAAGCTGAGTGATGTAAAATTTTTTTGAGCCAGGTGAAATATGTTTTTGCCATTAAGTGTTGCTAAAGCAAATAACTTTGAACTCAAAAATATATGTATATCATTGAGCATATTTTTAGAGATAAAAAATCTAAAGCAATTTGCGAAAATATGACTTAAGCTGTTATTATATTGTCTCATATTTACATCGTTTGATATTTGAACTTCAAGAAAGTTATTATTTTACGAAATGAGTTTTTTTATTCAGGAAAATGTGCCTTCAGCCAAAATAAAATAAATTGAATAACAAAATCTAATAAATATGATATCACACCCAATAAGATTTCAACTTAATTACATGCAAAGCGCAAACATTTTAAATTTAATGCTCACCTTTGATTATTTTTGGCAATATATATAATATAAATTGAAATTTGAAAAGCTTTCATCCAGCTGGAGTTTATTTTAAGTGCAGAATTAGGCAACCCAATTTAGACTCAATTTCTTCAACGTTTTCGACCTTTTTTGATCAACAAAAAAAAAAAAAGCAAGCCAATCCCTTTTTGTGTACACAGCCCTGTTCGTCCATTTGAACGACACGCCTCTTAATTAAACTACGCGCCTCATCGTACTGCATAGGTTCGCAGCCAAATTAAATCATGAAAATCCCTCGAAAAATCCATAACAAAGTGTCAACACTCAATCATTAAGAGGCAAAGCATAAAAAATGACGACCACCAAAAAGTGTTGCACAGAAATGGGTCAGCGTCGAGGGCAGATAAAATGTCACCCGAATGGAGTAACAAAATGTAGGATTTTTAATTGTCGCCGCCAATCGATATACGATAGGCACAAACAAATAAAAATCAAATATGCGAGCCTGTTAACGGTCAACAGCACCATTATTGAAGCTGATTAGATGCAAATGGCGGCGATAAAAAGACTTAAGCGGAAACCAAACTACACCATTTGTCCCGACAAACTACCGAGCCAAGTACCAATTGGAAGTCAGGAAAGAAAAATTATTGTAAAACCCCAGCCAGATTTTGTGATATTTTTATGTTGAAAAAATATAAAAACAGAATAAATAAGAGAATAAGAGCGATGGGCGTGTGGCGGCGCGCACACAGTTTTTATTTATTCATGGGCACGCTAACTTGTACGCCAGAGCTGCTGCCCAGGACACACAGCTAGGATATTACAGTTGGGCGCACAATTTAAGAAAAAAAAAGAAGTATATATATATATACACATGTATCGCAATATGGTACTGTGGTGATTTTAATGGAATTTTGCATTTTTATGTGTAAGGTCACACACCTGCTCGTAAAATGATAATCAAACGCAGGACATGCGGCTTATGTGACAAATTGGAAAATGACAATTGATAACTAAACGGCAGGAAAAAATGTAAATTGAAAACTTAAGCATAGCTCGTACCTTGTCCAAAGGGTAAGCAGGCGGTGAATTGACTTCAGCACTTAAGTATGCTACACTTTTTGAATTTCAAAATATATACTTGAGTCGCGCGCACTTTCACTTTTAAGCTGCTGCTGCTGAACTGAACCTATCGAACCCAACACCTCGCTTGATTTGTGAAACTGGCCTCGTTTGTTCCGCTGGGTTTGGTTAAAACAGCGTTTCTGTTAACGCTGCTCGACATTCGGGCTCACGAGTGTTCTCGAAACGAGTGATGTTTTCCGACCACTGTTAACTGCCGCTGACTCGGATCCATCTGGAATTGAAACACGGCACAGCCCACTAAAAAAAAAGTAGGTCTAGCACTGAGTGAAAACTCATTGTCCGCTTTGAGTGGCATCCACTTAGTTGGAGAGAATCCTAACCCCGCGCACTGTGTCTGAAGTTGTGCCAAGTAAAAGCTTTTCGGAAAGCTTTTGGTTTAGTGGGAATTATTCCAATGCCAAATGTAACCAGTATTTTAAATACTTAGGCAGAAACAAGGGTAAATTTTTAAGCTTTAAATACCTGAATATAAAATATTTATAGTTCGTATATAAGCAACGCCAATATTTACCTGTAAGTAAAGAATGGAATAACAAATTAGTATTTAAATCGTTAAAGATTTACTAACGAACATAAAAAATTGGTAACTGAAATACACACGTTAAAACACATGAACAACAATAGTTTTGATATACATTTATAAAAGGAAATTTTTAACACCGTATAACAAAAACAACAAGTACAAGTACAAATAGAGAGAGAAAGAGTGAGAGAGCTTATTAGCTCAAAAGCTTGAAGAGCTTTTAAAAAGTGTTGCCATTGTATATAAATGTTGGGCTTTTATAATTTTTTTTTTTTTTGTAATTTAATTTGGAAAGTCCGTTAGAAAAACATGCCAATATAATATTTAAGAGTTTCTTTTATTTATAAATATTTTCAATATATTTAATATCAAAATGTTAAGATACATCAAAGAAACGTGCAAAGTTAGTGACAAAAAAATTGTAGGCAGCTATATTTTCAAAACAGCTTAACAACACTGTTAAGCAACTAACAACACTGTAGTATTTGATAAGTATTAGTAGCACAACACACAAAAAATAACACGTGCTTTCTAGGCCGTTACTATATGTACATAGATAGGTTGCTAGGCTTTTGTTTATTGTTATTGTTAACGAAACAACAACAACATCAACAAAATGCCTAGCTATCAAACACACACACACACCATTTGATGTTGTTGTCATTGTTGTTGTGGTTGTTGTTATTTTTGGTGCTGGCTAAAACGAATTAACATCGAATTTAAAATCGAGATCCAAATTTTTCAACGGATTTCGACGGAATTTCTTGCTGCCATGATGATGATGGTGATGTGGTATAAGTATCTCCACTTCCGGTTCTTCATCTGCAGTATTATCGATATACATATTTTCGGATTTGGTTTAACAATTTCAATTTCAAGTTGTTCGTGTCGATTGTTTATATAAAAAATATACAAAGACAAATACAGAGAAGAAATGCCATTAAAACAAAATACAATCAAAACCCGTTTCAATTTTCGTTAAATATATATTTATATATTAATCTGAGTCAAGTGCATGAGCCATGTAATAAGCATAACGAGTACAATATCAAAAGAACAAAAAGACGATGAAATTTATGAAGAAAATGAATTCAACAAAGTGAATGTCAAGTAAAAGTTGCACATACATAAATATACACACACAAAACACACGCAAGAAAACTTAGAATTTAATACAGTGCGTATGCGTTATATTCGCGCATATGCGACTCAATTTCCTGCTAACACGCATCGGCCTATTAGCATTGATTAGAGCCACGCAACTTGGTATCTTCTGCTGATGATATACACGTGTAAAGTGCGATTGACTCATCGACCCACCACAGAATAGCTACGCATCAATTGTCAGTTTTCTGAATAATTTCCGCAAGTTCCCAAGTCCTTAATCTTATAAATACCTATAGAAGAAACCATTCGCAACACAATAGAGAGACAATATTGAAATATTCGATGTGCACACTTGGCTTGAATATACCCTGTAGTCCGATGTAGAAAACTGAAAAATATATGGACGTATAATCATCCAGGTGCACAGCTCGAACTAGAATTGATTGTTTCGACTGGTCAAGAAATAAATGCATTTTTTTGTGCCAGAAGTATCTCTATGTATCTGTGGCAAAAGTATACTCTTGCTATGTGTGCAGGGTATAAACAATAAAGACGGGGAAAAGGGTTAGCTACATTTCCATACGCAACCAAAACTTTTTAAGTGCGACGCGGCAACAATAAAAGAAAACCAAAGAAAAGAAAAAATAGGACTAACATAATAAAATGAAACTTCCCAAAATGAAATGCCAACTCTTGAAGTCAATGTTGAGTTTGGGCCCTCAAAAAGTTATACAATACTCGTTGTTATGGCAGTTGTTGAAGTGCAGTTGCCAGTGGCTGGAGATTCTCCTTAAGTGGTTGCATTGGACTGCCACCTGAGTGCATGGATATATTTACCTAAGTCTTACTGTCAGCTAACAAAGTTTTATTGCATCTTATCGATGTGCTCTTTTTACAAATATAATTTATTTATAGTAAGGTACTTTTTATATATACAACCAACTTGCATCATTGTCATTTTCCTCATTAAACAAATTACAAAATTACAGCAATCATGATTTAGAAAAAACTTAAACCATTTGCAAAGCAACAGTTTTTTTAATGGTGTAAAAATGTAAAAATTGTTATCTAACTTTTTGTCAAAGACTTTCTAGATTTTGTTTGAATGTGGCAAATATTTACTTTAAATCTCAAGTCCACAAATAAGATTCCTTGGCTAAAAGAGTATGCATCTCTCTAATTGAATGAAATTGCTCAATCATAGCCAGGCCTATTAAATATGCATGTGACAATATCTACACAGCTGAGCTTGCTAAATTTCAAAAGCATGGCTCATTGGTATGCACCTCCAGTGTGACGGCATGAGAAAACTTAGAGTTTGTGGTAGCCCATTACGTTCTGGGGCTGGCAAAGACAGTGAACGACAACACACACACACACACACAGACACACAGACTCATACACCATAACACAATTGCAGCACACACACAGACATACTAAGCAAAGTGTGGGAAAAGTTAGATGTCTGTCAGCCGTCTCTTTGCCTGCCTCAACTTGTTTGCAGCAGGCAATCGGCGAACGAGTTGCCGCCTGGCTGGCTAAACTTTTAATCAGCTTGCAAAAGTTACATCCTGGGCGCGCAATTATAGCCAAATTTCAGAACCAGCAAAAACATAATCAAGTTAATTGCATAAAGAATGTTATGCAAAGGCTTTCAAGAGCAGCGGCAACAACAATAACAACAAACAATATCATTCTAACAAAATAAAACAACAATGAAGGAGCAGAAAAAGCGGCGCCAGGTTTATTGTCCTGCCGTCGCGAACTACATGTATATGTATATATAAATATGTACAACACATAAATATGTATGTGTGTGTGTGTGTGTGCACACTTTATGTTGTCAGCTAATATGGCTTATTGCTGGCATTGTTGTTATTGCTGCTGGTGTTACTCTGCTTGTTGTAATACAATCAATTTCCGCTTTTGTTTGTCAAGAAAAGTTGAAGAACTTTTTGTGTTTCAACTTGCGGCACTTTATGTTGTTATTGTTTTTCTTCTATTTTTTTATTTTATTTTATTTTTTTGCTGATTTTTTTCTTATTGACGGCAGCATTTTTATGAAGCGGAAGCAACAGCTCAGCTGCCAGCGCCGGTTTAAACATGACGTATACGCAATACTGCCACTCCTGCCCAAAACAATTTATTGATTGCCTGACATTGCCAGCGGGTGTTTGGGATGTTGAGCAGGATGTTGGGATGTGTTAGGATGTTAAGTACACATTTTTTAATTAAATTTCCTCCTTATGGTGCGTAATATCCATTATCATCCTTGTGTTTAGCAATGAATGCCACTTTATTGGTCGCCTGTTTGCCTGCTTTGGGCCATTTAAGTTGGATTTGTTTGTGAGTTGCGGCATTGGCTTTGAGCAATTAGCTTTTGTGTTATATGGTGTGCTTGATTAAGATCCAAAACTCTCAGATATGCCTCAGGACCATAAGCTAGACACACACACACACGCACAAACATTATGTCAAATAGGTCGACTACCAAATTGGTATCAGACTCGACTTTGTAAATGTCTGCTGCGTGTTCTGTTCATAGTAGACTGAATTCTTTATTGGAATAAATTATGCATTTATCAAAATCAGAGAAAAGAATAAGACATGCCCGCCCTATTTATAATACTTTATTTTTAGACGATACGAAAACAGCAAAAGTGAACATAAAAACATTTATATTCATTAATAAGGAAAAAAGGTCAGTGTCTCGAGACTTACCAAAAAGTCAAGCAAAGGGATTTTAACTTTTTAAGACTGTTTGACTCGAAGTCATTAATGATTAATGCCTTTCCACCAATTTATTGCTCCATGACGCAAATGCTGTGTGAGTCAGCTCTAAAATGTATTTCCATTCCACTGACTTGACATTAAAACAGATAACCGAAATAATAAATACAAAAAGTATTTAAATTTTATTGCCAATGTCTTGCTGCAGTTGCCAAAGCATTTATGATGGCGAAATACTAACAAAAAAATAAATTCATAAGCCATTAAACAGCAGAAAATGACAGTAGAGTATTCCATTTCAAAGAATGCCACCGATAACAAATAATCACATAATTTACAGTCAGACGGGGAACGGATGACAAATTTGCAAAATAGCGATATGCGTCATATCGACGTGCAAGGATATCAGTGTTGCTTAGAAATGTATGCGCATATTTTGTGCTCCAAGTGGCAAATGCTAAAATGCCAGACGTTCAAAAAAATACATCGACTGGGCTTATAAGCATCGTAAATAACATTGGCCATATCAATAACTTCATAATAAATTCATAACCAGCAGACGTCGAATAACACACATTTTTATTATTCTTAAATTTTTTTTCTTCTGAGAAGTGAAAGCAAGTGAAAACTTAAGTTTCAGATGTGAAAATGTATTCAGCGCTTTATAGTTGAAGAAAAGCTCTGCAAGATTATTAATATTGTCTTTGTGATCTTGTTTGTATAAAGTTATATGAAAACGAAGTAAATTGGAAGTTAAGCTATGTCTTTAGACATACTAATATTCAATGTCGTCAGTGCTTAATTTTTTCTTATGTCAAGTTTTCGGCATTCAAAGACATCTTGACTTAATTCGCAACTACGACAAATTCATCCAGTTTTGCTACTACTTTTGTACATTTGTCAGTATCGGACGTCATTTTAATACATCATTTGTCGCTAATGGTTTCTTTTGTTATAATTATTTGCTAAGCAGTCTGGCGTCTTTCACAATTACTTTGCACAGTCAATAAGGAAACCGCTGAAGAAACCGTGCAGCGAGCAATGACAGAATCGTAAATAGGATGACAGGAAATGCTGAACGGTAAATGGAGCAACGGAAATCTCACGGGCATAACTAGGGGATGTCAATTTATCATTTCCGTTTGTTAACGCGTCGCAAATTGTACGCTTAGCAAATGTTTTTGCTCGCTTTTAAAAGCCATTTGATTCCACAAAGTGCGAAGGACAGTTATCTTGGGCAGTTAGCTGACAAACCACACCCCAGCCAACTACTAACTGCGCCCACTGTCGACATTTATGTGTACATAAAGATATGCATAATTTGTGTATGGCGCCAGTTTTTCTCAATTTCAACGCGACTGTCAGAGACAACAAAAAAAAAAAAAACAGAAAAGAAAAACAAAAATATCAAATAACATTCTGGCACGCATTTCTGGTATTTGTCTGGCGCTTTAATGCGACTCCAGTGTCCAATTTTGACGTAGCTTCGTATTTTCATACTTTATGCATTTCTTTCGTGTAAATATGCAGCATTTAGCCAGATAATGACCAACACCCGACCAAACCATCCTATCCACATTCTCATCGCTTTAATTTCATAATTTTGGGCAAGGCCGTCGTTGTTGTTGTCTATTTTTATCCAGACGGACGCACCTTTTATGGCAAATTAAAATAAATGCCAACACAAGGGTTCACCATGGCGTATGCGTAATATTGTTATAGCTGTTCGGATTCGGCAGCGACCAAACGAGCTGTGAATAGTGCCCCACGTGGCCCACAGGCAAAATATGTATTTCAATTCAACTCCCCTCTTCCGTTTGCCTCTAAAAATTTATTGCCTCCAATTTGAAGCTCTCCATGTGGCCTTACTCAAAAATAATGGCTCACTAAGTGAGCGAGAGAACAAAGTGCGGATGTTTGTTGATTAATGCTATTACGACATTCACGAAAGGGTTCCTACATTTAATGCCAAGACTAATGATTTGAAACTGCATTTTAAAGACTCTGCCCACAAGTAAATAAAATGTTGTGCTCTGAAACTTAACCCTATGCACTAACAAGAAGTTTCTTATCTTGGCTCACTGCTTAAGCAAACTGCAACACTGCCACTCAGTCAAACAAAGTGCTCACACCTTAAAAAAAGAAAGAGTTCTAATTAACCAGGGCAAACAAACATGAAAATCGACGAAGCGAGCTGTGAACACATCAAACACGTCAACACAATGAATCTAGCCGTGGTAATGGAAAGAAGATGGCCACACCTTAAGGCAGCAGAGAGTAGAGGCAAACAAAAACAAAAAATATCAAATGGTAATCATTAGCCACCAATAAATCAAACGACTGACGGGAGCAGGCAAAAGCGCCTTATTTACTCTCAATTAGGCTTACATTAGCTCTGAACTCTGTCCGAGTTATATTGAGCAGAGAAAATAGAAATAATTAACAAGCTGCGAAACAACGGCAACGGCAACGGAAACGGATACCGCCAAGCCTGTGATCCATTTTTGTTTTGGGTGTGTATATATATATATATATGTGTGTGTGTGAGTGTGTGAGCTAACTAATTGAAATCGTTTGTAGCTCAAAAGCTTTGGGCGAAACTCAAAGCGGCGCGGCGTTTTAATTAAAATTATGCAAATATATATGATAAGTCCCAAATAAATATAATATAAAGCATACGACCGAGTATCCAGCTGAAACCAGGACTAAACACAAATTATATTGCGTGCCTTTGTGCGCTTATTTCGTTAATTCTATTGATTCATACTCTGCAGCCAGCGGGTATGTTAAATTTTGAATGCCAGACAACCGTTGAATGGCTGTTGAGCTGTGACATTAATTTTATTTTTAGATTAATTTAATTTTGCTTAATTGAAGCCGTATCAAGTGAATTAACACATTCTATCAGCAACATTAGACATTCATTTTAGGTAAACATTGACACAGAAAACATATCTTCCAAATAAGTTGAGTGCGACTGATATTCGTAGGCTCTCACTTAATCTAATAAAATCTCCCCATCTAAAATAAAAATAAATTACTGTCATATGCAGTTTAATCCAATTAGGGTATAATCAAGTCGCGTACGTGCGTTTTGTCCCCATATAGTCTTACACCACTTAGGAATGGCTTAATTGCTCATGTACAACAACAATAAGGCGCCTACAACGGCAATAAGAACGCAAGCAACAATGTGGAGCACCTCTCCCAGGCGTTTATTTGCATTTCACATTAGCAGGAAAGCAGCTCACAGATACTTTACGAGGGCTTAGCATTGGGTAAAGTGTTTTATTGTCTGCTTTCCGCTTTTGGGATGCTTTGTGTATTTATTTAGGATTTTTTTGCACACACTTGTGTGTGAGTGTGTTTGTGTGTGTGTTGCGTAGATTTACGCATGAGTTGACTACTTTATTGCTAATTTATGTGCAGAGTTGTGTAATTTTTGTTGGCCTGGCCACGCCTGAAGACAGCCAGCTAATGGGCATATCTATTTGGGGGTCTACGTAATGCCATTCTGGTTAGGCGTGGCTAGTCGTAAAGATAAGCCATGTCCACGGCAACTACTCTCGTCATCAGCATATATTAATTACTTTATGATGTGCCAAAGACAGACTTTTCAGAAATTCTCTTTATCACTCACGGGTTGAACAAACTGCAGCTGGGACGCAGAAAAAACGGCTCCTTTGGCGGATGTTGCTGTTGGCAGCTCAGTTTTTTATATTATTATTTTTTTTATTTTTTTTATAATTTATTTTGATTTGCAGCCAAGAGAAAAACGCAAACAGACTGTGAATGTGTTGAGCCCCGGCTACGTGCTTATAATATGAAATATTTCTTGGCACAGACCCACAAAGAAGCAGCAGCAATGGCATAAAGCGACGACGACTTAAAAGGCATTTGTATGGTTGATTTGCTTCCCAGTAGTTTTATTTTATGTTTTGTTTTGCAGTTGCCTTCCTTTTTTATGCCGCTGGTGGCCAACAACAAAAACAGCAGAAACGCATAAAAACAACAAATTTAAAACTTAACGAGCGACTATAAACATTTTGGAAATATCAAATTTGGGTCTGTAGATAAAATATTGATGCAAAGGAAACACCAAAACCAAACTTTGTTTGTCTTGCATATTAAAGAAGTTGGAAAGGCTAATTTGATATTTTATAACTTTAATTTCGAATTTTAATCAAGAGTTCACAAGTATATTTATAACACTTATAGCGTCGTTAAAAATAATTAGGGTATTGTTCAAAGGGATTGCTGTGAAAGTGTGTTGTAAATTTAATTTGTATTTTAGTTAAACTCTTCGATCTCATTAACTTTTAGAGTTACAGATACAACTTCTTGATGTAAGCTGTATTCTGTATTACATAGAAAGATCAAGGTCAATTTAAAATTCGAGTTTTTAATTAGCTCACACTTTAGATTTATATTTTAATTGAATTCCTTTTGAAAAGTTATCCATTTTCAAAGCTTCATCAATAGAACCAAATTTGTTTCGCGCCCAAGGCACATCAAAAGCATTTAATAAATGTTAATTAGCGTAGCCAACGAAAATTCGCTCATTTAAATTGTATTCATGGCGGAAATCTCGAACAGCAGCTGTGTCCCTTAACAAGTCCCGTGGCAAGGACATGGTGAAATTAAAATCTGCCAACGCATGCATGAAAATGTTGCGCAAATTAAAAGCAACCGCACCGACGAGTAACAGCAACGAAATTACTAAGCAATAATCATAATTTGTGGTATTAACGGACCACAAGGATACCCAAGGAATACCCAAACAACCGCAACCGTTGGTCCTTTTTATCGACTCCCTCGCCTGCGCTTTACGAGCGCTGATAAAGTGTCGTTGTGCAATTTATATAGCTGGAGATGTGCGAGGGCAGGTAGCCCGGCTGCTCTGGGAGCCAATCCAAACGGGGAACACAGCAGCCGGGAACTGCACCTGTCACGTGGGAAAATACGTCCTGGTAATTTATGAGTCATACTTTTGAGTTCTACACTCTTAGTTTGGCCTCCGGTGCGCAAGCACAACTCGCGCGAATTTTATTTCCATTATTTGAGGCAAACAAACGGCAAAAGTTCTTTTTTCGTTTGGGAAATTTTCTAAAAATAACATTGTGGTTGTAGTTATTTATCTATATACATGCAAAGCAGACAGCTGGAGTGGGAAATTGACGAGCAAAATTGAAGTCAAAAGTTTCACGCTGATGTGTTTAACAAATGTTTTCGCCAAATTGTGTAGTATATTCCGCGATATTGTTAAAAGTTTTGACAGGCTAAAAACGAAAAATAACAATAAAGTGACAGACGTGATAAATAGTACACTTGGGTCAGGAAGGTGACCAATCAGTTACTCTGCTAGTTAGTTAGTTGGAAATTATTAGTTTATTATAATAAATGAGCGATGGAACGATCGAGATACTAGAAATTCTTGCACAGGGCACACATAAATTACATTTAATACAGAATCAGAGAGGTTAGATTAAACTAAACAGACTGCTGCCTTTAGCTAAACAGAATTTGTGGATATATGTGTGCAAATATTCTAAAGGAATATTTATGTTCATTCATAAGAAACTCAGAGCCCCGAAGAGTAGGCAATGAATTCTTGACACCAGAAAATATGATATTTATATTATGCTCTTAGCGCTGTCATAAAAATATATTTATGCGGCGCTTATTAGATAACATAAACAGTGAAGCATGGTCTCTAATAATGCCCATTAGAGGACAGCAGTGGGCAGACGGGACAACAGTTCGGCTACTTAACAAAGTTAAGTGCAGCACAAATTTGCCGAAGGGCAGAACAATTTGCACAGCACTCACACACACAGACACACACACACACACACAGATAGGCACAGAAGTCATAAAAGGACATGTGATATAAGAGCGGAGTGTAATGTAGTGCAGTGTAGTGCGCATTAAGAAGTCATGTATTCCCCATAAGTATTCCCTATATATTAGGAGGGGGCAATATATATTTGCGAGCCCATTAAACACGTTATTGGATTAGAGTGCGAAGCATGTGAGTAGACAGCAACTGAGATAAAGATGCGACACACAGCACACAGTGGATAAATACAACAATACAATAAATAATAATGAAGGTATCACAATACACAATACACACACACACAATACACACACACACACACGTACGCACATATCCCTTATGGATTGGGAAAAAGAATTTATTTTTGGAAAAATTGTATCCTATATATATATATACATATATATGTATTTGAACAGTGTATCTTGACTCTTCTCACCTTCATCCTCGTCATCATCATCGAATTCCGTGATTTCCGCCTTATCGCATGAACGGTCGACGACGCCATTTGTTGCTGTTGCCGTCGCTGCCGCAGCGCTGCCTCCTTTGGCGCTGAGTGCCGCCTTGGCATCGCCATTGGAGATAATCGAATTTGATTTTGCGTGATTTGTGTGATTGTTCGAGTTGGATTTTGCCGATGAGGAGCCACCATCGGCGAGCTCCATTTGTGGTGCGCTCGGCTCCGGTTCGCCATTGCTGACAGCATCGATGGCGGCGCCATCCTTTGTCTTCAGCTCCTGACTGGTGTTGCAGCCCATTTTATCTGTGTCTGTGGGCGCTGTTGCTCGGTCTCTGTGCTTTGAGTTGGCCTAGGTAACCGGGCCCGAACCAACGCCAATCGCTGGCGTTGTTTAATCAATTGCAACAGCAACAACAAAAGTCACACACATACACACACACACACACACGCACACACATACACACACGAGAATACTTCTTTTTTATGCGCACTCACACACACACACACGAATCTAAAGTTTTTGTTGTGAACTTTGTTAGGGTTTGTTATTTGCACTTTGACTTTTGTTGGGTGGAAACCTTTTTGTACAAAAATCGGTTAGAAAAATATTTGTTGTTGTTTTTTCTTAAATAATTGAAATATTATTTCGTTTTCAAAAGAATTACAAAAAGGTTCACAACCACTTAATTACCAGTCAGATTAATATTAATGTATGTTTTCTTGAGAGATTTTGGAAAACGCAAATCGCAAGTTGAAAAACTGTGAAGCAGACGCAGAATTCGACTGGCAAACTGACTGACTGACTGACTGACTGTCTGACACTGGCACAAGCTCGGGCACAACTGACAAACGCAAGCTACGCGTTCACACTAAGACCGAATTGCGGCTGGGTATCCTGCAGGACCAAGGCTCAACAGTCGACAACGGGAGCCACGACAGAAGCAGCGGCAGCGGCAGCAACAGCAGCAACAGCGACAGCGACTGAGACAGTGGCAGAGGCAGCGAAGCCAGCGTCAGCCGGCAGTCAACAACTAGCCAAATATGGAGCCCCAGAAATCGAGCGGACAAACGCGACAAGAGAGCAAACAAAAATCCAGCCAGCCAAGCAGCCAGTGAGAGAGCGCATTCCTGCTCATTTTGTTAGCTGCACAGTGGGACAAAGGCCGTAAGCGAATGTGATGGACCTAATGGGCATCTACTTTATTTATAATATATTTATTTCTTTGCTGTCGCTGTCTGATTTATTCCACTTAATAGTTGCACAACTTTGCAATATTTTCATTTGAATTTGAATAGTTCTACAACCAGTGTAAAATTGTGCCAGGCAGCAAAAATTAAAGAGAGAAAAAACAACAACAACAACGAGAGAGTGTGTTCTGTGAAGGAGAAACAGAGTTAGAGGCAGGGGGAGAGGGATATATATATATGTACATAGAGAGAGAGAGAGAGAGAGAGAGAGAGAGAGAGAGAGAGTGAGTCGAGTAATCGGAGAGCAATGACAATACAACAGCTGATGTCTGCTGGCGCTGTTTTGTGTGTTTTGTGTGTGCGGCTCTTGGCCTGCAGAGTGTTTTTTCGCAAATAAACAAAGCGATAGGCAAAGCCGACAGTCAGAACACACAAACACATACAAATACACAAAAGCACACACACACACACAAACATACAGAAGAGGACCACAAAGCCACAGCAGCTGCAGAAGCAGAAGCAGCGGAAGAGCAGCAGCCATTTCTGTAAAGTTGCTAAGGCAATGGCATCATCATCCATTGGGACTTTTGCACGCACCAACTTTAACACACACACACACAGAAAGACGCACACACACACACACACACATAGCACTCACATATGTATACTATTTGCTGTACCTTTCGAGTGTAGCGAGCCGTAAACAGCATGCAGAGAACAAACCACAAAACAAATAACAAATGTTAACCATAAAAATATATCAATGAAAAATTTTGCTTCTATCTTTGGTTTTTTGTTTGGCCCTTAGCATAACTCATCTGCGTAAGCAGCTAACTAGTTTTTTCTTCCGCTTTTTATTTATACATTTCCCCTCCCTCACTACTCTTTTTGCCTATATGTTGACGCTGCTGTTGTTGAACCTTTTTTTCTTCTCTTTTTGCTGTTACACTTTTTCGAATACCACTTTTTTTTTGTCAGCCATTCGGGAGTTTGTTTTGTGTGTGTATTTATGTGTGTGTGTGTGTGTGTGTGTGTGTGTGTGTGTGCGTGTGTGTGTGTGTGTGCGTGTGTGTGTGCGGCTGTGTGAGTCACTCAGAAATGAATTGGTCTGCTCTTATTGTGTGTTCGCCCAAGCCCGCTCCAAGCACCCGCCCAGTCGATAGGATAAGGCACACAGGGTGTCGTTATCATAAAGTCGATTGCCCGTCTAGTTGGGCACCGGAAGATAATCGTAAAAATGCGACTGCATATGTAAATACTAAGTGACATTTGACTGCTGCGCAGAACGAACGAAACGTGTGCCACACATCTCGGCGTCAGCTGGCAAATGTCTAATCAAATGTGACCCTGCCTCATTGCATATGCAAATGAGTGCCGCAAGAAATGCTTATGGAGTTGTAAAATAAAAAAATCATCATTTATTTTGGGTTAATCAAAAATGCGTTAAATGACTGTGGCAAAACACCCTGTATGCTGCGGTAAATATTTAACAATTATGCAAAAATACTTCAGAGACTTGGCAAAAATATGCCGCACATGCCGAAAATTGCAAACAAATGGTTTGTGAATCAGCCAATTAAAAATATACTGAATAGTGCACATCCCAACCATTTAATGGCTTATTTTATTTGTGAACAATAAATTGTATGAATGGAATGTATTGCTTAACCGAACAACAGATTTAAACTTTCAACAAAGATCTCGAAACAATATTCACATATTTGGTTTGACTACACTTTAATTAAGCTTTAATTTAGACGCGTCTTGTGAGACAATTCGTTAAGAATCTGGCATTGAGAGCTATACAACACAAGAGACATAAAACTTAATTTAAATCCAGGATGACAGCTGAAGCTCTTATCTGCTGTCACTGCTGCATTTTGCCAGTCAGCAGCTGCAACACAAGTGGAAGGACTCCTTGACTTGAAAAAGTTAACGCGAAGATACCCTTTGCTTGAGATACAAAAATAGGAAAAAATAGCATCAACAGTAAAGCTATAGAATAAAGTTAACAATAACATCAAATATACATTATACTTCTGCCTAGATCCGCTTTTGTGTTTTTACATCAGTAGGAGGAAAGAGAGGAGACTGCTATCATCAAAACAGGATACAAATCAGACAACCACAACAACGGTTAAGACAAAGACTACAATCGTCAGCTGTCACAGACAACAGTGTGAGAAGGCACATCCTTTTTGTTGCACTGAGTTGAAACTAATGCGTGAATTTGTACATTCCGCAGAGCACCCACAAGACGAGCAACCAAAACACAACCAAAAATAAACTGAAAAACATTGCGACGCCGATGTGAAGGACTTAAGATAGCGACAAGCATTTTGGCGAATGCTGCGCATCCGTTCTGTTTGAGGCGTGTGAAAATGCATGGCAAGTTTCCTCCAGAGTTTTTGCGCTCGACACTTTCGGCATTCCAGCCATTGTGTTGTGGACGGCAGATGGTAGATGGGAGCCAGGCGACAGGCGCATGACAAATGCGCGGGCAACACATAAACCCTTTCTGAGGTTGATAAAGTGACAGGCAACGAGTTGTATCCGCAGAGCTCACAGCTCACAGCTCACAGTTAACAGCCATAATTGGCGAAAGGGGAGGCCTTCAAGGCTTCAAGATTGCGCACCATTTGCCCGCCGAAATGCAAAGTCATTATTTTGGCCAAGAAAAAGATAAAGAAAAAAAATATATATATATAAAACAAATACTCGAAAGCATTGTTTCGGTCCCGGCTTCCGATCTGAGCACATTTTGATTTTGGCTGCCTATCTTCGAACAGGAAGCCAAAGAGCAAGAAAATGTGCCCCGCCGAATTACGTATACGCCATGATGTAAACTCTCGGCCTATGACACACACACAAATGGCATGAGCTGCCTGCCCCTCCACTCGCCCCTCATTTGTGTCTGCTTCTGTCTACTGTCTCCCGGGACTACGTTGCTGGCAAGTGGAAAGCTTTTGCGACCTTTTTCTCTGAAGCTCAACGGTGCGCAACAATTTTTGGGAGGTGGGGCAGGCACAAATTGACAGCAGACCAACACAATATATATATATATATATATGATAATTTATGTTTTAAATTGCGCTGGCTTTAGGCTAGCTGATAGCGGAAAAAGCAGCTTCCGCTCTTTGGTTATTCCAAAAGCAAACAAAGTCCACGCCCAAAGTCAGTTCGCCGTTTGCTTAGCCAAATCAAATTTTGACTTTAAAACTTTTGTGAACTTTGGCTTAAGCGATTTACAGTCTGAGCTGCTGCTCAGCATAACAACGGGCCTTAAATTGAATACGTTATTCGAAATTTCTAATATAATAACGTTCTTCTTTTGCTCAGCAAAACATAAGCGAGACATTTCATTTGACATCTACTTTTACTGCCCCTCGACACGTTCTCTTTTTGATTTGTGTTTCCTTCGCTTTTTTTTTATTTATTTTGCTACAACAAAAGTCGCTCGAAATAATTGAATTAGCCCTGACATGATATATGATCCATATGTGAATAGTTTACAAGAATAGCGTTAAGTGTAGACTTGTGTATTAATCATACGCCTAGTGGACTACAATAACATGTTGCTTTAGCATTAATATAAATCATGCAAATATTGTAATAAAGAAACAAAGCTATAAATGTGATAATAACACTTCATTATATTAATCGACCATTATTAAAAAGGTGACTCGGAAGCCGTCGTCCTTGTAGTTTCCGAGAAACTAAGGATCCAACCAAGGAAAATCTGTATGAATTTGCCCCTAAAGGTATGCTTCAATATGCTGTATGCTTGATCCGGCAACCTAATTTTAAAAGTCACAAGTCAGCAAATTTAGGAAACATAGAAAAATAGGCTTGTACATGTTCAGTTCGAGGACCACGTGTCCAACATTTAGAAGGAGTTCACAAACTGGCTTATTGTTGTTAACGCTTGCTTTATATGGTATTATTGCGCTGTTGAGCGCTCCCTCATGTGTGCCTTTCGTAATTTTCCAGCTATTACCTTAATTTGAGGCACACAAACCTACACACACACACTCGCACACCCACACACTCGTACACACTCGCACACCCACACACTCGTACACACTCGCACACCCATAACTCACACGTGTGGCCGAGTTGGCTCAACGGTGTAATTGTTAATTAAAAACGCTCTCCGGTCACGAATTGTTTGCACAGTGCCCTCAAAATGGGTGGGCGAACCTAATGCCCACTGACCATGGCCCGTTAAAGGTGTTGAATAATGTCATAAAGTTGAAAATGGACCCACGATATTCTTCTTCTCTTTTTTTATAAGCGCCTCAATTTGAACAGGGTTAGGGCCCATCCGTATTGAATGGAGTTGCGCGGCTTTGATTTTATGGTCATCGTAAAATTGTTTAGAAAATGAGTTTATGACACACATAAAGCCAATATTATGTTACTGTAATACATTTTTAATGCGCAGCACGCAGGGCACAGGGAATACCGTTTCCAGACGGGTCTAAAACAGATAAGTAATTGGTTAGCAAGGCCAACATAATGGGAACCTTTTTCATTCTTGATTAAATTGAGCAGCTCCAAGATAAATATATTTATATCCAAAAAATAAAAATAAAAATAAGATATATGACACGAACTTACAAGGATGAGTGTGTGATTTTTGATTTATATAACACTTTTTTGTCGGGTTAATTTAGATGACATTTCATATACTCAGCACGAATCTTTCGTCAACCTTGACAATTTCTAATAGGCAACATCAATCTTTTCACAAAAAGGCAGCAAATCATCAATCAAAGCAGCTGTGTGTGTGTGGACGTCATAGGTTAAAGAAACTAGCCAAACAGGATATAAGTGGCACCCAATTGTGTACATTGAGCAAAAAATGTGTGTCTTGAGTAGACTCTAATTATTTTATCTGAACACGATTGATTAATTCCAAGTAAAACAAATCGATTTTTCAAATATTCTTTACATTTCTCATTTCTACTTATAGAAATATATTAGACATTTTTAAATTATGAATAATAATACAAAAATAACTTTTAGATTTCAGTGAGTTTCTCCAAATTGTTTTTCCAAGTGTAGACACCTCTCACAAAATGGCGTCCTGTCTGGAACTGAGTAGTTATCGTGTGTGCGCTTAAGGACCAGACATGACAACCAAATTGAAAAACCCCATTTAAATGCAACTCGATGCCTGATATTTGGATGAGGGGTCCTGTTTTGGGTTTGATTGGGATCCTGCTGTGCATGCGTGACAACACAAAAAGAGCTGTGAGCTGAGAGCTGACTCTGTCTGTCTGCCTGCCTGTCTGTCTGTCTGACTGTCTGTCTGTCTGACTGTCTGTCTGTCTGACTAAATGTATGCTATTGTCATTTTACTTGGAAATAGGAGTACATTCACTTATTGCAATGAGCACAAACCGACCAAAAACCCAAACGTATGACAGCCAAATGACACACACTACACACACACACACACACACACACAACACACACACACGGTCACAATCACACACACACACAGACAATCACACACGTGCGCACATTATGCAAATAGTCCGTGTGTGGCGTGTGTGTCATTCATGTAACCCTTTTCAATAAACATGTTGTGCGGCGGGGTGTGTTCTGTGTGTGTGTGTGTGTGTGTGTATGTGTGTGTGTAGATTGGCGGCTGTGCCACAACGAGTCGAGTAATTGAACGGCCACCTGAGCATGTGTGGTTGTTTGATTTGATTTTAAAGTAAACATTGAACTCTTTTGATAGACGAGCTGCCAGTTTTTGGTTAGCCGCCTGTCTGCCAGTTGGTTGGTTGGTTGGCTGGTTGGCTGGTTGGTTGCTTTTTAGTTTTCCATTTTGATTCCGTGTCATTTTGCAAATCACTTGTGATAATGGCCATGTTGTGCACCACATATGTATTTATGATATGCCACCGATGCCCACCCATTTAACCAGTGACTGCCACACACACACTGTGATCATCATCTGTTCACATTGCCGGTTAATATTGTTGGTTTGGCAGGCAGCCAGTAACAGGCGCCAGTCATTTAAGGACCAGGCAGTCTTTTTACAAAGCACAGGATATGGATATATATACATATATATGTGTGTGTGTCTACGTGCATAGATTGGATATTTTGTATTGGTATTGGCCATGAATGCCGGCAGTCCTGTGCTTTAACTTGGCATGAACTGAACTTGAAATTGCTGTGCTTGCACTTTAATTTTGGAGTCATTTCAAGCTTAAACAAAATATAACAAAACTGAAACGTTTTTCAATTGAGTTGTTTTTTAATATGTTTTGGGTTCTAGCTTAAAAGTACATTTAATTATAGAAAGAAGAAAAAGGACTTTAAAGAAAACATTAAATTTACCAATGGATGATATTTTTCCACTTTCCACAAGAATGTTTCAAGCGAATACGAATCCCTCCACACAATAGTAATTCTACGCTTTTCAAAATCACTCACTTGTGTTAATTTTACAGTCGTGGAAGTTGTAAAAAAGGGCAAGAAAAAACCAAACCTTCAGCATGTGAGAAAAGGTGTCGGGCTTAAGCCACAAAAACTTGGCCTTTAATTACGTTGTTTTTCGCACCTTAACGTGTGAAAACGCTATAAGAGAACGTAAAGACAAAAGCAGCAGAAAGCAAATGGAAAAGCAAAAAGGTGAAAGGCCAACAGCTAAGAATAAGTTGAGTTGGCCATATGCAACTGTGGCATGCGCTTTACCAAAGTCGCAGAAGAGCAATCAATATTATTATCTATACTCAAATGAGTATTATTTTATCTCCAAAGTACTATTCACATACGTAATACACTCTACGAATGTGGCAAGCTAAAAAACCCATCATAATAATTTAGTGCAATCAATTAACTGTCTGAAAAACTGATGACGCATTTGACCAGCTGCACGAGCATTAGTGGGAAATGGGAATACAGTGAGCATTCGCTAAGTGGAATATGATTTGAAAGTGATTATTATGCGCACATGAAGTAATTTCTATATCAATATATATTTAACATTTCCATACATCAGTAAATATATATTAAAATTCCAATAGGCGAATTCAGATTAAAACAAAGAATTAATTTTAACTAATGCTTTTAGTGCACTGACAATGTTTATTCTGATATGTTGCAGGAGCCACTGTATCAACGGGTCAAAAACAAGAGCAGCAAACACCTTTGACATTTGTGTTTGTTTTGTTTTGTGGATTTTTGTCGAGCGCTGGTCAACGATGATCTAAATGAAACGGTAACTTCCGCTAGAATTGCTGACTGCTCGGCTCGGTTGTTTTTGTTGTACTTGTTGTTGGGTTGTTGGCGGCAAAGTGCCCACAGACATGCAAATTTCCATTTAGTGGAAAAGCTTTTTGCTGGCACGCGAAACACGATGTGAATGCGATATGGGCGGGCAACAGTTTGAAATTGAGCCAGCAGAAGGCTTAAAGGCAAGTCCAAAACATGTTACTTGCCAAACAGTTAGAAGAGAGAGAGTTTAACAATTTTAAGCTATATATCTATACAAACTTATATCTAAATAGATGACACTGACTAACTGCTATACATCTAGTTAAACTTATATCCACATAGATGCTCAGTCGCTCAGGCATATTGGCTGATGGCTCCAGGCAACTGCCCAGCGTGTGGTGTGCCCCTGATGAAACTCTGTGCTGCACACATTGCTTATCTTGCGTTCCCTCAGATAATCCATAATCTTGGGCACATTCGCCTTGACGCCCAGCATGCTGCTGAAAATGCTGCAAGTGGAGGAAAGACAATATTTTATTAGCTTCGTTTTAATGGGTTGCTGCGTTGCACTTACAGCACGCGTTCCTTGTACATTTCGCTCTCGTCCACAATGCGTTGCACGAACTGCACTTCGCCGCCGGCGCAGGTCAGTTCCTCGGCACTGCCGGTGCGCACATTGTTGGGTGCCGGACGTCGCTGGGGATTGCGCGTGTTGCCGCCAAACGGATTCGCTGCATTCGAGTCGAAAAAGGGCGGATTGCAGAGACAGAAGTGAAAATTTGCTTTGGTTGCCGCACTCTCCGACTCGAAGTAGCTACTGAAAATGCTCTGTTTGTCGGGCTGTGCGTAGACTTCGATGAGTGACTGCAACTCATTCCTTGCCACATTCTGCCGTGCATATTCAATATTCGTTTGCTTCGATTCCAGTGCCAGCATTTGCCACATATTCTTCTTCGCCCCGAGCAGCGAATAAATGCACGAAGAGCCGCAACCTGTAAGAGTTTTACATTACTCTGAGAGAGTCAACAATAATTAATATCCCTGCCACTTGCCTATGTCTATGCCACGCACTGCGTCCAGCTTTTGTGGCGCCAACAAATCCTCCAGCCACAAAATGTAATTCAAGCGCAGCGCCAAAGTTGGCACCAAACTGCCCGGTGCGAAATCCACTTGCAGCCCAAAATACTCAAGCAGCAACATTTTGGTCAACTCACGCAGCGTGCGCTCGTTGCGAAAATTAAGCGACACTTTGCCATTCAACTCCTGCAACATTAAATATTAAAAAATGAACGAAATGAAATGAATGAAATGAAATGAAGTTTTATTTTTGTTGTTAGTCACAACTCACCAATTCGCAGACGTGCCGAAAGTCCTTGTGCTTGATGGCCAGTTTGGTGTAGTTGGGCGCTGTTCGCAGCGGATTGCGCGGATGCATGGCAAACTTTTTATTGCTATTTTTCACCATTTTATTAAATAAAACAAGTAAATGTTAAACAAAAACGTTTAAATTGAATTTAATGTCGTGTAAGTGTGGCCGTTTAGTGTTACTGCAGAAATACCTAACGAAAATACTGACACGCAACAGTGCACCGTGTTACGGTCACACTGTTCACTAACCAACTCTGTTAAAGCAAATTGAGCGGATTTGCATTAACAATATTTTGTGCAGCTGCTGAATTTGCAAGTTTTTGTCGAATTTATTGAGAAAAAATGTCGGAAACCAGCTCCAAGGAGAATGTTAAGACAGCAATGACTTACATTTGTGGCGGTGAGTAAGCAAAAAAGCCGCAAAGCAGCTAAAACAATAAATGCTAAACTGTCGCACATGTTTGCGGCACAAGCCAGTCAAGAAACAGAATTGTTTATTAATACTCATTTCCCATTTATAAACAAAAACAGAATGCCATCACGAGAATGAGATGCGTCCACGAGATCCGATCCGTTGTCGCGAGTGTGGCTATCGTATTATGTACAAGAAGCGCACCAAGCGTCGTAAGTAGCCTGCTGTGACTCCAAAACTGTTCGGCAACTAATCCAATGTTAATGTTAACTTTTTACAGTTGTCGTTTTTGATGCCCGCTAAACTGTTAACTGGACTACAACAATTTCCAAGTGATGGAAACTATTTTAGAGTTTAGCTTGTAATTGGAATAAATATAAGAGACTTTTAATCAGTTGAAATTCATGTTGTTTCACATGTTTCCCCCTGGAAGACATTGCTAAAAATAATAAATATGGGCTATAAGAAATCTTTTCGGCTTGTATTTAAATTTAAAATGTTTCCGATTCTGAAACTTTAGTTTTGTCAAAAGTTTTCTTCAACTTTTTTCTCACTAAAAGAATTTCATTGGATTTTTATGCATATACGAAATAAAACAATTAGTTTTCTATATTTTAAACTAGTTTACTTTTATTTGAATGTTTTTTTTTTTGGGAAATATAATTTTTAAACTAAAAACACTTATATTTGTTTTTAATTTTTGTTTTTGTTACTCATTTATTTTGTTGTTTGTTTTTTGCAACTTGTGCTTAAATAAAATGTAAAGTAATTTGTTCTTATGTATTTTTTTTTTTTTGTTTTTTGTTCCTTTTACTCATAAATGTCTTTTTTCGTCTCAAAAATTTTGTCTAAATGGCTTTTGTCATCCAAAAATTTACTTTACTTAAGAATTTCTCTTGGTTTTTTTTTTTTTTTTTGTTTTCATTTCATTTCCTTTAGCGTTTGGTGTAATAAATTTACGTTTAAGTTTACCACATTTAGCAAAAACACACATTTTACACTAGAAATTGTTTATACGATTTATTTGTTATTTATTATTTGTATCTCTCCTTAATATTTTCCCCGACACTTTTCAGTCAAATATTTTCTTGTTCAGTGTAAAGTAAAAATTATTATTACATATATTTTTGTATTTGTTTTGTTTTCGTTTTTTTTTTTAAATTGTAATTTTATGTTTATCGTATTTTGTTTCTTTGAGTATTTTTGTATTGTTTCCTGTGTTTTTCTTTCCGTCTTCTTCATTTGTTTAAAATCATAAATACAACTACGCATTACAGAAATATTTGTTCTTTTGTGTTTGTTGGTTTGTTTGTTTGTTTGTTTTTGTGTAATATTAAATATAAACTTTTGTGTTTTGTTTTATGCTTGCAGTAGTATTTGTGAGTGTGTTTGTGTTTGTGTGTGTGTGTGGGCGCATTGTGGGCGTGGCTGTTAGCACAAACTATAACTAAATTAAATGTACATAATATGCAATGTTCATGTGTGTTTAAAGCTTAATTTAAAAAATAAGGCAAAAAGGTATTTGAGGTTTGCTTTCATGTTGTATATATATGTATATAAATTAAATATATAGATGTATGTATATGTGTAAAATACAACTTAAACAACTAGTAAACTATCAATGTAAAAAAATGGCAAAATATACTCGTATTAAGTAACTTAAATAAACAAAGTTTCTGTTTGTTTCTTGTTGTTCTTTTGTTTTTTCATTCTGTAATGGCAAATTAAAGCTATTTTACTTCAAACGAAACTTTCAAGACATTTGATAAATGCTCAACGAGCATCCCTAAATTCTATTAAGTGAGTTGTTTTTTGTTTTGTTTTTATTTTAGTTAATTTATATTTTTAAGTATACGTTTTTTGTTGTTGTTGTCTTTTAAAACACTACAAGGTGAGTATTACACGTGTGTGTGTGTGTGTATGTGTAGGTGTGTGTGTGTGTGTGCTTTTACATAACCTCAATTATACAACTAATATTATGTGAAATTCATCGAAATTGGGCGTAGCTTTCTACATTTTGTATTTTGTATTTTTTTTTGCTTTTTTGTTTGTATTTTGTTTTTTTTTTTAAAGAGAAATCATATTTCAGGTACATCACAACTTAAAATTTAACAAATAAATGCAATTTTTTGAATGAATTTTCAATGAAAACGCCTAATGCATAAAAAATGTATATGGCAAGCAAAACATTTGCTAAGTTAAATGAGAAACAATTTGCTCGCTCTCTCTCAGCGAGAGAGAGATAGAGGGAGAATGAGAGAGCAGAAAGTGTGCAGTCTACAGTTTGACATGCTTCAACCGCTGATGCAGCTGCAAACTGTAACGCCGCTCAAACGTTGCGCTACACTGCTTGCAATTGTTAGGATGTCGTACCGCACGATGCTTCCAAAACCGATGCAGTGCCAGTGAGCCGAGTGTATGGTGACTGAAACTGATGCCGCCGTCACCATTGCGCTGTCGGCTCACCGAGCAGCTGGCACAGCTCAAACCATTATGCACGAGTCGATTGAGGTGCTTGTCGCGCAGCATGGCGATCACCACTTCGGGTGCTAGTCGCATTTTCTTCGGCTGCGCTTGCTTGCGCGAACTGCGCGCCGTTTCCGCTTCCGATTTCTTGCTAAAGTCGAGCGGCGCCGTTAAATACTCCTGCTTGCTGGCCGCATCGGCAAGCAGCGGCAGCAGCGTTGCCAGTTGATTGAGCGACTTGCGCGACGAGGAATTCACCATGGTGCTGCTGCTGCTGTTGTTGTTGCTGTTGTTGAGGGTATTTTGGTTTGCTGCTGCTTTTTTGGGACTTTTGCGCGGTGTTGCCAGATCCAGCTGACGTTTAAGCAGCGACTGCTGCGCCGGCGCTGTTAATGATTTTAACGGTGCGTTGCTGCTGTTAATGCTGTTGTTGTTGCTGTTGTTGGACACCTTTGGTGTGATGGTGAGAGTAATGTCCTCCTTGTTGCGCAGATACTCAATGTACTCCTCCGTCTCGCTCAGTAGTCGCCGTCGCTTGCCGTATGTTAACTCTAGTTCTCGCTCTCTTTGCTCTCTCTGCTCTCTCTGCTGGCCGGTTGTCGTCGCTGTGGGCAGCGCTGCTGCAGCGGCGGCAAGCATTAACGGTGTTTCGGCTGCATAATATTTGTTTATAATATCCTTAACATAATTCTGAAATTGTGTGCCAATGCGATTGAGATTCTGGTATTCCATTTGTGTGAGAAAAGGTGTTGTTGTGTTGTTGTTGTTGCTATTGTTGCTGCTGTTGTTGCTGTTTGGTGTTGCGGCGACCGCAGCAACTGCTGCTGCAGCAGCCGCTGCCGCTGTTGTTGCTGCTGCCGCTGCAGCAGCTGCTGTTGCTGCCGCCTCAACGCTGCTCGTGTTATTCTCCTTATCATCCTGGCGATGATGCTGCTGATGCTGCACGGCATTCCTATGAGATTTCTCTCTATAATAGCTGTTGTTGCTGTTGCTGTTATTATTGTTGTTGCTATTGTTGGTATTATTATTATTATTGTTGTTGTTGCTGTTGTTGTTGTTGTTCTTGTTGCTGTTTAGTTTATACGCGGGAGACGATTTAATAAGCTGCACTCGCTGCTGCTGCTGCTGCTGTTGTTGTTGTTGTTGGAGCAGTTGCTGTTGCTGATTTTCTTGATCTTCGTCATACTCAATTTTGAGCTTTCGCTTGCTGGCGAGCAACTCGATGGCCGTCTGCTCGTAGGCAGCTGCTTCCAGAAATGCCGTTGCAATCAATGTTTTGCTCTGCTCATTGTGGTGCTCGCTCTCATTGCCAGCAGCTCGCAACAAGCTTTTGTTGCTCGCATGACGCGACAGTTTTATCGGTGACGTAACACCCGACATACTGGTATTGTACTCATCGCCCGAATATGAGGACGATGATGCCGATGACGGCGTATTCTCATCATCCTCGCCCGTCGAATGCTGTCGAGCACGCATCACGCCAAACTTTTTGTTGCTGTTGCTGTTGCTGCTGCTGTTACAGTTGCTGTTGCCGTTGCTGTTGCTGTTGCTGCTGCTGTTGTTGTTGCTGTTGCCGTTGCTGCTGTTGATGTTGCCGCTGTTGATGTGATGGCCGCCGCCCATGTTGCTCAGGCTGTGCAGCAGCGCTGCAGCCTCTCGTGTCGTCCATTGCGAAGGCAGTTTATTATTGAACAGGAGTTGATGATTAGCTGGTATTTTCAACTCGTGCACGCCTCCCGCTTTATGAAAATCCTGAGCGACCGAAGCTGTATTGCGACTAATGGCGTCCATTTTTAGCAGACTGTAAGTTGGAAAAAAATCAACAAGAGATTAGTAAGATGTATATATACATGGAATATATAAGGAGAAAATATATACATATAATATATAATAAATAAATAAATGAAATAAATGAAAAGGGACAACAGCAAAAGCATTCAAATAAAATTGGCAATAGCGCAAGGAAAACTAAATTTCCTGGCAATAATAAAAACAAAACAAAAACTGTGAAATGATAAAAATTGAATGCAAGGAAAAACATTGAACAAATGATAATCTTGACAGTGAAAATTGGCAACAGAAAACTGGGAAAATGGCAGAAGGAAGCCGGATCAAAAGGAAAACGCAACACAAGGGAAAACAACAATCAGTCAATCAAAATGATAAGTTAACCAAATACCATGGCAAACATCAATCAATCAATCAAAAGCAAAGCGTAATCAACACAAGAGCAAACATCAATAAGTCAATCAAATGAAAAACGTAATCAAAACATAGGCAAACATCAATCAATCAATCAATCAATCATTGAGTAATTAACGACTGGAAACGACAAGAAATACCGCGCATAGTCCTCCGGATCGCTGCCCTCGGCTTCGAGGTATTGAAATAAACGCTCCGAGCCGCGTTTCTGTGTTGCAGCATTTGGTAAACTGCCCGTGAGTAGATCATGCGGCGGTATCAATGACCCATTGGCACTGAGTCGCCAACCGACCATCGATGTGGGATTCACAATGATCTCCTGCAAGGGGCCGCCCGCAATGTTGCCACCGCCGCTGTTGTTGCCTCCACCCGAGACACCCTCATTGGTGGTTGTCGTATAGATGGTAACGGCACCACTGCCGCTCACATTGCCAACCGTTTGGCCACCGCCACTGGAGGAGCTGTTGGTTGATTTGTTGTTGATTGGTTGGTGGGATGGATCACATTTGTGTGGGGTGTGGGGCGAGAACGAGTTGAGAGAACAAGAACGAGGGTAGTAACGAGAGTTAGGAGCATTCTGCGCGCTGGGTGTATATCTGTTTTGTTTTTTTTTTTTTGGTTTTTGTTTTTTAGAGAGGGGGGAAGGAGGGCTGTCTGAGAACATTACCCAAAAGCATTGCCGGCATTGTGAAACGTGTTGAGCTGATTATTGGCCACCAGGGTGTTGCCAATCGTTCGCAAGACGTTCAAATTCTGGCTATGCGTTGCATTGTTGCTGCCACCGTTGTTGTTGCCGCTGCCACCGTTATTGTTGTTGTTGCCACCATTATTGCTGCTGCTGCGCGCTGGACGATTGTCATGCGGACTGAGAGAAACAAATCGACTATCAGCAAATACGTATTTGGTGGATAAATAGAATTATAGTAATAGTTCTAAGGGAATCTAGAGAGACCCTTAAACTAGTTTGCATATTTATCAACAGATATTCCTATCACATCACATCAACACACATATTGGGGGGAAATAGTAATAATAGTTTAAGATTGTCTAGAGGGATCCCTATCGCATCTAATACAAATTCCATATAGTTAGTTCTTAAGGGTTACAATGCTACTTACTGCACATCACTCATGTGTAGCTGGAACTCCTCCTGGGTGTCGGCGAGATAGGAGCACTTGCTGCAGGCGCGCTTGTTGTGCACCTTGAGCACATGTGTGGCCAGGCGCTCGGAGCGAGCCGCCTTGTAATCGCAGAGCAGGCAAACGAAGGGCTTTGTGTGGGTGTTCAGATGACGTTTCAGGCCCCACTTGTCCGCACCGGACCAGGGGCAATAACAGCAGGTGAAACGCTTCTCACGTTTCGGTTTCAGCAGACCCGAGCCGGCGGCATTGCTGCTGCTGCCCGAACCGGAACTGGAGCTGGCCACCGCCGGCTGCTGTTGGGCACTGCTGCTGTTCATCACGGCGCTCACGTGGAGCGGCAGCACGGAGCCATCGTCGAGCTTCTCCTGCTTGAGATGGGCGAGCGGCATATCGGCAGCGGAGGCCACCGCCTCGATGGTCTCCACAATGCTCATGCTCGTCGAGGTGGGATGTCGTTGTGCCTCCAAGAATGCATTATCAATATTCACACCGGTCGCATTGATCGTCACATTGCCCCGTCCGCCGGCATGATGGGAATTGCCAACGGATACACCACCACCAGAGCCACCGGAGCCACTGCTGGAGGAGACATGACGGCGCGTCTTATTGATATCGTACTGCAGTTCGCGATGCATGCGCAGAAAATGCTTCTTGACGTGATCGGCACGGTTGAACTGCTTGAGGCAGGCATAGCACTGAAAGGGCTTCTCGTCCTTGTGGATGTTCTCGTGGCGTGTGTACAGATCCCTCCGATCCGTCGAATAGGGGCAATGAGTGCACGCATATCGCTTCACGATGTGCACACCATTAGCCGCAGCAGCGGCAGCGGCTGCCTGCGCCTGAGCGGATTTTTTGCGACTGCCACCGCCGGAGGAGGTGCTGCTGCTGCCGCCGGCACTGCTGCCGCTGCTGCTGTTGGTGGGCGCTGAGGTGGGCGTGGATTGGACCAAATTCTGTGCCGCATTCGCCGATGTCGAGGGGCTGGCATAAATAAGCTCCGCTGCATGCTCCTGACGGTGTTTTCTAAATGCACAACAAATGTGATTTTAATTCGAATAAAACACTATATTTTCTATAGCTCAACTCACTTGGACTTGGGCGTGCTCTGATGAACCTGTTGCTGCTGTTGTTGCTGCTGCTGTTGTTGTTGCTGCTGCTGTTGCTGCTGCTGCTGTTGCTGATGCTGACTGACCTGCGCATAGCTCTGCAGCTTGCCACCTGTTGTCCACTGCACCAGCTGAGGCTGCTGCTGCTGCTGCTGCTCGGCGGCTGAGGCGTTGTCTTGCGCCCAGCGCTGCTGCTGCTCGCCGGCTTTGAGCAGACCCGCCTGGCCGGCGGCAAAACCGTTCTGCATTAGCGCTGCCAGCCCAAAAGCTGTACTCAAATGATCTTCGGATTTGAAGCTGCCAACGGCGGCAACGCTGGGTGCCGGCACCACAGTGGCGCCGTTGCCAGTGGCGCTGACCACCACAGAGTTACCCGACTCTGATTGTTGCTGTTGCTGCTGCTGCTGCTGCTGTTGTTGTTGTATTACATTGGCCTGGGTTGTGGCCACGTTGTTGTTGCTGCCACCGCCCGCAGCTCCACTTGCCTCGTACTCAATACTGGGCGCTGCGGTGCGATCAATTTGTTGCTGTGTGGAACAAATGGGGAAGAACCAAACATTTCAAGGGAATTAGTTGAGTGTTTTGTGAGCAATTGGCAATAAAATGCACTTGATATATGTAAACAATCGCTGTTGTCATCAATCCAGATTTAAACTTATTTTCGATTTACACTGTTTTACAATTGCGTACAAAATATTAGCATCACTCGCACAAGAAATGTTTTCCAGTGTGCCTTTTTTTCAATTTCTATGAATACATTTTTCAAAGTGGAAGAAGACTCTTAAAAAAGTGATTAAGAGCAAAAGCATAATATTATTCAATGTTTTCCACTTATTTAAATTTAATTAAAATTTAAATTAAAAAATGTAATTTTAGAAAAAGGAATAGAAAAAGAACGAAACAAATAAATATACAAATTCTAACAAGAGCGCATAATTGGTGCTATTGCAAAAGCAAAGTATTTAAAAATATAAACAATATTTTCAAAATCAACTTTTGAAAAGTTGCATCATCCGTAAAATAAATGACGTAGTGGTGCTATTATTATTTTCGCAACTTTCTGGGCAATTCTTAAATTTAAAATATCTGCAATCAAACATTGATTTCTGTGAAACTTCTTTTCGATTTGAGATTGTGCACCACTGTGATTGGATCAGTTAACAAAGTTGGGCAAGTGTAAGTGGAGTTGGATGATTAATTAATTAAATTGAGCTTACCAAATTCGTAAACGAGCGCTGTTCGCCCTCGGGGACTGCTGTGGGTCCACTGGTGGCCACTTGAGCCACCGGAGTGCCAAGCGTATGCAAACCGTTGCCGGTCTCCTCGCCGTATAATTTACGTGTGATTTCCTTGAACATATCTTCATATGTTGCCTCAACATTTGAGGACTGTGCTGCTGCTGCTGCTGCTGCGCTCGCTGCTTGATTGGCTGCGATCGCTGGGATTAGTGTTGCCATTGCTGCGACTCTTTGGCCTTCGCTTGCTGCTGCTGCTGCTGCTGCTGGCGGCGTTCCGTTGCACGTAGACAATTGCAGCGACGACTACTTCTCTCGCTGTTCCCTCCACGTATGCGCTTCGAATACTACAAAGAGAAAGAGCGAAAGAGAGAAAGAGAGACAGTTAGTTAGTTAGTCAGCTAACTAGTTAGTCAGTTAGTTTAAGCTAAACGCACATCACATTCTCATTCACATCCGGTACAGAAAATAACCAAAGCCCCCCAATCGATGTCAGTTCTGGGAATTTACTGTTGACACACCAGACAAACAGCCAGCCAACCACACAGCCAACAAGTAGCAGCTTCTATCTTGTCCGGAACCTGCCTGCCTTGGACCCTATCATTGCTTCTGATGCTTGTGGTAAATTGGGGGTGGAGCGGGTAGATGCGAGGGTTTCTGTTGCTGACGTCGATTTTGGCGCAGCATCAGCTGAGTCAGCGCTGAGCGCGAGCAGCGAATTGAGCACACTTTTTGTTTACGACTCATTTTTATTTCTCCACTTTGGCTGCACGGACAGGCGACAAAGGTGTCGAAATTGGTTTCGATTGCAGCAAGCTTTTATTGATTAATGCTGAATTGCCTCTTTGTTTACCTTATCTGAGCTTGAGTTTCAATGCCATTTATCATGTTAATCCAGACATCGAGTATCCAGAAACTAAACGTTGCCTTATATGGCAAATCTTAGATTTCCGTTGGTCAATATTTTTATTTCACAAAAGAAATTAATTTTTACAAAAACTATGTTTGCTGCCAAGCCAAGACTATACTTTTTGTATTATAGTTATCAATATCAGATATTTATAAAGGTATAAAGAGGTGTTTAAAATTCAACTTTGACACTTTTGTCACCTGATACAGGTTGGGCACGAAGCGACTTTTTTTTTGTCTGCTGCATATATTAATAAAATTAACCACAACACTTTAGCAGCAAAAAAAAACAACAACAACAACGAGAAAACGCCGACAAGCCCAGCAAGGTATATTAAAAAAAACCCCATTGAGAAGTTAACGCGCCCAAAACTTTTGCAACTTTGAGAGGACTTCGCTAAGCGCATCTCATAAAAATACAAGACAAATTGGCAGCGAGCAACAACAACAACAACAACAGCAACAAAACTGTTGGCGTTGTAAATTTGGCGGCACTTTTGTTGTGTTTGGTGGGTGGCTGTTTGTTGTTGTTGTTGGCCCACATGTTGCTGATGACTGCGCCTCGTTTTTCAACCGAGAGATGCTGACACACAACAAAAACAACAACAACAAACAAAACTTTTGCGCGGCGACAAAAAAATTATTGTTGTTGTTGTTATTTGGGTACGCGGGCACGTCTCGATGGCCCAGAGCCAAACAGACACACAGACCGAAGCCACCCACACACACACACTCACACACATACACACGACATAACACACACGCCTCGGCCCAGGCCCATGCCAAATCTGGGTGGAGGGCTGTGCAGGGCTGGGCGAGGGGGGAGTGTGTTGTGTGTGTGTGAAGGAATGAAAGAACTGTTTGTGTGTGTGTGTGTGTGTGGACCATACCGAAGCGTGTTTTCTTTCGTTTGCTTTTGCGCTCATATTTCGTATGGTTATTTGTCGACTTCTTCTTCTTGTTTTTTTTTGTGCATATTTGATTTTATGCTTTGTGTGCTTTTTTTTACAGTTGTTGCCCACACTCTGCGGTGCGCCATCATTGGGGGCGTTTGCGTCTTCTTCTTTTCGCTTGCTTCGCTTCGTTTTGGTTTTTTTTTGTTATGTTATGTTGTTATAGTCTTGTTTTTGCCTTTGCCTTGCAGATCTGAAACCACCTAGCCGACCCCCTCCCCCTCCACCCATACCCCCTTTGTGCACCCTCAGCTTCTTTAGCTTTGATTGACTCGCTGCGTGTGGCTTTTGCCATGCCAAGGGCATTGTTGCTGTTGTTGTTATTGTTGTTGTTGGTGTCGGGTGTGGGGACTTGACTTTGTCTCAGCTCAAGATCATCTTAGCTTTGTGTGTGTGTATGCGTGTGTTAGTGGTCCACTTAAAAGTGCAAGTGTTGGTAAACATCATAAAACATAAAGCAACTCAAACTGTGTTTTTAAGGATACTCAAAACTAATTTAAACATATTTTATTATTATATTTTAACATATTTTATTAGTAGTTTTTATATTTTAAATCAACTCTAATAAAATTCATTTCGAACTGATTAATGAGCTCATTAATAACTCTTAAAATTGCAACACACCATTTCAAAAAGAGTTTTTAAAAGTTTGTGACAAACTACAAAAATATGTATAAATAATACAAAAAAGCATAATCCCAAAATTTTAGCTAAGATAAGAAAAGGGCCAAGGGGTGGAGGAGAGGAGAGGGTGGGGGTTAAACTTTTTGTGGGCGAGCTGAAAGACACACACAGACGATAACAACAAAAAAGAGTGTCATGCCAGAAGCAGAAGAAGCAGAGTGTGTGGGTGCTTGGCTGGGGCCAGGCACACCAGCAACAACAACAACAACAACATCCGCTTTGCTAATGGCAGGCAGCAAAAAATAAAGCACAACAAATAAAAAAAAACCCAGAGACAGCGTCAAACGGGCGCGTCAGCGAGTGGGCTGAAAATGGGCGCAACAGACGTCGCCGACAGCAGCAGCAGCCGCAGCAACAACAACAAAATCAATTTACAACAACTCTAACACGCGCACCACCAGCAAGAACAAATACAACGATCAGTCGCTGTCAGCTACGACGCCGTCGCCTGTGGTGGGTGTGCAAAAAAAAATAAAAAAAAAACCGAAGAGAAGAGAAAAAAACCAACATCAGCAAGCAACAGCAGCAGCAGCGACTCAGCCGCAATGACAGCGCAATTTGGGGGAGTCGAACAAGAGCGAAAGAGCTCCGGAGATGGGGAGAGAGCGCTCTCAAACCGGTTGGCAGCTGAACCTACAAATAAAAATGCCGGTTGGGAGCTTTTGCCCATAGTAATAATTGATATGAAGAGAGCGATAGAGAGAGAGAGAAAGAGAGAGACATCGAAGAGAGCAAAGGCTTGATAGGGCGCCCTGCACGTCTGCCTGATCGTCACTCTTTGTCCAGCTATCGTCTGTTGTCTGTCGTTTGTCTTTCGTTTTGCAGATGCCGGACGATTGACTGTTAACGGTAAACGCATTATTGCGTGGCTTCTCTTTAAATAAGGCAGCAGCAGCAATTGTTGTTATTGTTGCCGTTTGTTTTTGGTTGCTGATAATATTTTTCAGAATTGCGTTGAGTGTGCTACAATCACACACACACATACATACATATACGACCCGTTAGGGGCGGGCGTCAATGCGCCAAATTGCCAGAGAAGCAAAGCCGTATTTTTTTTTAAACATGTGTGCGTGCGCAGTTAAATAAATATGTGTGCGTGTGTGTGTGTATGTGTGTACATTTTAACACCCGTGGGCTGAGCCGACCTGATGGCAGCTCAGGGTGAGCCACAACATTACTAGCAGAAGTTGTTGGTGTTGCGGTGAACGGTGAAAGGCTAAAAGACAAGACGAGAGGAGAGGTGAGATGAGGAGGGAAGGCGCTAACAGGGGGCGGTGGAGGCAGAGAGAAAATGAACGGACAACGGCAAACAGCAACAACAGCAACAACAACAACAGCAAAAACAACTACAACAATAACAGCAGCGTCAACAGCTAATGACATGTTAACGCCAAGCAGCACCCGTTTGTCTGTCTGTCTGTCTGCTCGCCGTTCCAAAAGCCACACGCAGTTATTAAAAAGCACTTTTGCCTGATGATGGCACAGTGGGACAAGCTAATTGTTAAGGCGGTCATTTGCCAAATGCAACTAATCAAGCAAATTGTCAAGTACATGCAATATCGCTGTTATGGAAAGAGATGAAAGATCATATGTAAGTTTTACAAGGATATAAAATGCACGTTAAAAATTGAATAATTATCACATTGAATATAAATTATAAAGACACAAGGAATTTATCGTTTTTCTGCGAAACTACTATATAGATTTGTAAATTCAAGCAGATCTAATGCAATTAATGAGGATCAATCAGTTTGAAAGTAAATAATAATTTAATTTAATTAATAATAAATAATAAAATATAATACATTTTGCTATTCTTTTTTCTAATAGATTTCTAACAGTTTACACCACTGTGACGCGATTGTGGGCATTAAGCAGCGTGATGTCGATATATGCTAGCATCAATAACAGCAGAAAACCACAACAGCAACAACAACAAGTTGGTTAAGTGGGTGGGTGTCTAACAGCTGTTGTGTCCAGCTAAAATAAAAATTCAACGATCAACCAAAACGACTGCGATATAAAATTGAAGATTTTATATGCGCGCCATCAGCAGCAGCAGCAACAACAACAGCAGCAATAACAGCAGCAACAACATCAGCAATAACAGCAGCAGCAGGGAGCGTAACATTAAATGATTTTCTTGCGCTGCTTCACACGCCTACGCAGCAGCAGCAGCGCATGCGTGTGGGCTGCTTGTCGATTGCATTTGTGTTGGCTGCGTGGGTCCATTTTATTAGTTTAAGATGGAGGACGGGGAGGGGGGTTATAGCAAATTTGACAAAGAGCTTTAAGCTTAATATCAGCTGCATATACATAAGTACACATATACATATGCATATGCATATGTAAACAGCGCAGCCTTTTACGATTGTCTCTTATAATAGTTGATTTTTTGCACTTTTGGCAGCTGCGCAGAAGAAGACATCCGCCAGCGACGCTGTGCGTGTCTGTATGTGTGCGTGTGTATCTGTGTGTGAGGGCAGCTTTATATGGGCGGCAGGTGGTAATTTTTGTGGCCAGCCAAAGACAACAACAGCAAAAACGATGCGACGACGGCAGCTGCTGCTGCTTTGTTTTTTTCCTTTTCTTATATACATTTTTGGCGTCTTCTTTTTGAGCTGAGCTTTGGCCAAGACAACAAAGCAATAAGCGGGTTTCTGGGTGTGTATGTGTGTGTGTGTGTGTATCTATCTCTGTGTGTGTGTATGCTTTAATTTTGGGTGGTGCTGTTGGCATTGCCTTGTGGGCGTTTGCGCCAGCAGCAACACCAGCAACAACATTCACAGCAGCACCAGCAACAACCAATTTTCTCAAGGGCAGCCATCGGTTCAGTTCAGTTCAGTTTCAGTTCGGGTTCAACTTCGTTTCGGGCCAAGTCATATAGCATTTAGCCGTGTCTCTGACTTTAGCTTTTGGCTATGCTTATTATTATTATTGCTGCTGCTGCTGCTGTTGCTGCTGCTGTTGTTGCTGCTGGCAGCTGTTGGCAGGTGCGCGCCCTCATAAAAAAGTCGTTCGACCGAACGACCCAAAAAATGCAGGCGCTGCTGCTGCTGTTGCTGCTGCACATGCTCACAGCAACATAGGAAACGAAAAAGAGAAGAAAAAATGGCGACGTCTGCGTCTGCGTCCCTCTTTCAAGTGTCAGTTGCGCACCCTCCTCCTTCTCCTCCTCCTCCTTCAACTCCTCATCCTCCTCCGGCATTTTCTTATGAAATCTTTGCCTTTTACTTAACATGCTGCCCAAGCAACATGTGCATCGATCCTCGGCTCTGTCTGTCGATCCTCTGCCCCTCTGGGGTAGAAAATTTATGCAGTTGTTTCATTTTAGGGGTGGTTTTTTTTCACAATCGACTCGTTGCTGTTGTTGTAGGGTTGCCAGGCAGGCTTGCAGGTTGCAGCTGCCGCCAGAGAGACTCCTCATCTTATTTTTTTTTTTGTTTTCAGCCTGTTGCTGCCACAACTGATGGAATGGAATGTTTTGCACTTGCTTTTAGGGGTGAACATTACCAGCTGACAAGTGGATAAGCCATGCCAAGAAGGGATGACCGATAGATACATACAAATGTATATATTATATTATTTTAGGGATTTGTTACACTTGAAAGACTCGTTAAATTCATTTCGAGTGAGATTAATTCATCAATAGTTTTTAGCTACTTATAAAATCATTTATTATTTTCAATGATTTTTATGTCAATCAACTTCGTTTAGTAAATATAACTTTTACATCAACTTCTAATGTAAATTATTTAAAATTTGGATGTGCCTAAAGAATTGATTACATCTGAATTACCTTAAAGATTAGGGATTGCATAATTCTTGTTACCTTTTTCTTTGAGATCGTTTCTGGCACTGATCTAGGTCTGCCCATGTCTAAAATATATTACTTTAAACTTGCTATATACGATTGTGCATCCGTTTTGTGTATATGGTTAAGTATATGCACACTTAACTCTAAACCCAACCCAAAAACCCAAAGATGAGCTGTTGACGCTGGACGTATCTTAAAAATAACAACAACAGTCTGTTATACACACACTCGCACACACAGAAAAGAGACCCAATAATGAAAAATTTCACAACAACCTTCAAGCAGACATCGACATCGTCGTCTCATGTGTATATATATATACTTATACGTTTTTTTTTTTGGTTTTTGGGCCGTCCCATCAACGTTGAATATTGAAAAACGGTTGAGGTTTTTTAGGCAAATTGTAGTAGGAGGAGGCGATGGCGATGCGCCGACAGCAGCAACAGCATTGAGCGGCAACCCCCTCCCCTCCTCACCCCCTTCCCCAACAACCTCTTCTTGAGCGTCTCAGCCCCATAGAATGAGGCAGCGAAACGCAGATAATGATGATCACAAAGCACAAAGCGACTCAAAAGCACTGAAGACGAGTTTCTCGTTTTATTTTTGTTTTCGGGCCAAACCAGAGACAGCAGCAAAGAGAGAGAGAGACACAGATAGAGACAGGCCCAATTCGAACCGAAGCAAACCCAAACCGAAATATAATCAAGACCAGAGCTGACCCCTCCTCCCCCAATAACAACAACTACGAAGGAGACGCTAACCCAACCCAAGTTTGAAAGCGGTGAATGGTCCACAAATGAAATGAAATCCTACGCAATGGGGTGGCTGCTGCTGCTTGTCTCGTTGCGAGAGACGCCACAGGTAAAAAGTAGAAACCTTGAAAGCCACAAAACAAACAGCTGCTGCTGCTGCTGAACAGGTAAACTCTCTTTGCCAGCAGGTAAATTGCAGGACGGCTTCGGGTTCTGGGGGAGGCAAAGCGACGCTGTAACAGGAAATTCCTATGTGATTTTTGAGGTGAGATTGCTGCTGCTGGCTGGGGTCGCTGGTTCGATCAGTGCAACCAGCAAAGAGCAACCCTCATGTGGCAAACAGTCAGTCAGGTACCCGACTGCCTACTGCTGACTGTCGATCGTCCCTTTCCATTACCCGTTGTCTTTCTGCGAGCCACCCTCTCCCCTAAAGATCGACGGACTCCGACGGGAAGTGCGTAATTTAGTTTTGTGAAGTTTTGCGCTGGCTGCGTTTTTTTCGTTTGGGGTCGCGCCTGTCTCTTCATGGGAACTTGAACTTAAGCGAGCCCAACAGAGGGGTGGGGAGGGAGCGTGTTTGCGTAGGTTTGTCTTTTTTTTAAGGTAGGGTGTGTCACTATAAATAGGGCATAGGTAATTGTCTAATTGGGAAGAAAGTTGCTCATTTAATAGAGGCAGAAGGGTAACAAGTAAAAGAGTGCTCTTCTATTCTTCTACTCTGCAAAAGCTCTCTCTCACACACACACACAAATACAGTTACATGTGTAACTAAAAGAGATCGTTGCATTGACAACTCCTTGTGCAGCACAATATATGATGATCAAAATTGCTAAAAGCAAAAGCGAAGAGGAGACGAAATGTGAAATAAAAACAACACAAAATAACAGCAAAATTATAATAGAGGGCCGAATTGTGTGGGGGCGGCAACGACAGCAGTCAGCAGCCAAGCAAAGCAAACGAATGCGCAGCGAAGAGGAGAGGGAGAGCAGAGCAGAGGCGAGGAGAAGCAAAATGCAAAAGTCGTCGCTGGGTGGGTGTAAGAAATTCGTCAGAAGTCGCAGTCAGCAGCAGGCAGAGACGAAACTGCAGGCAGACGACGGCGAAGCAGGCAGAGTGGGCAAGCAAAGAACTTTGTGTGATAAACTAACAGAAGGGTGTGAAGGCAACAAAAAAGAAAAAAACGCAAAGTGAGCAACGAGGGCTGAGAGCCTCTGTTGTTTTTAGGCAGTGGACGCCAAAATAAAAACCTACGAAAAAATCAACATACAAAACAGCGGGCGGTGGAAACAGGCGGCGACGGTCAGTCGCGACAGAGAGAGAGAGAGAGAGAGAACGACGAACACCGAAAGTCGGGAGTTGTGCCAAGCGAGGCGCCAATTAAAGAGCGCAGCGACAAAGCAAAAAAAAACACACACAAAAACCGAAACAGAAAAAGAGAAAAACAGAATAAATAGGGCTGAGGTAGGCGTCGCGACGCGTCGTGTTTGACTGCCTGCCTGCCTCGGGGGAAAACGGGTAGGCAAGATTTTAAAACATCACCCACTCACATGTATGTATATAAGTATGTGTGTGTGTGAGTTGAATGCGTTGCGCATTTGTGAAACGGACGAAAAGAAATACGAGAAAGAAAGTAGGATAATGTAGGCGCAGGCTCAGGGTTGCCACCAGGTCGCATTAAAATCAACGAAGCTACAAGTGTGCGTAAGAGCGAGAGAGGGAGCGAGAACGAACATAGTCAAGACACGCAAGCTGGAAAGGATGTTGTTGGTGGTGGTGGGTTTCACATCATTCATTATCTCGTTGCCCCTTGCAGCGCGACGTCGCGACTGCGCCAAGCGAGGGAGGGCCAAAAAAATGCGATGGCGACTGCGACATTGGTATGTGTGGTGTGTGTGTGTACGTGTGTGTGTGCTGGCATCTCTTTGTGTGATTGCCAGAGGCATGCCCGATGCCCAACGACACGAAAGGGGTGCCCACTCTTCGCGGGCATTCTTTGTGAGCCGTGTTTTTTTTTGTTGGGAGTGTGTTTATGTGTGAGTTTTGGTGCGTTTTTTTTTTGGGCGTTGGAGTGGCTGTTTTTTTTTTTTTTTTTTTAATTTTTTTTTTGGTGTCTGTGGGTATAATTGGAAATTGGGTAACCGGTTTTTGTGAGCCACTAGCTACCTGTGGGTTGTGTTGTGGCCTTCGGTATGATTTTTGTCGATGGGTCTATGTAATGCTTCATAGTATTGGTGTGTGTCTCTGTTTGTGTGTGTGTGTGTGTTTGTGTGCGTGTGTGTCTGCCTGTTAGCCACATGGGTTCTGAGTTCTGCTGAGTGGTAACATGTGTCGTGGAAAGGTTCGAGGGGGGTGGGGGTGGGTACATAAGCCTATGCAAGCAATGACAATTAACAGAGGACAGACAAATACAAAAATACTGCTCTTTAAGTCCTGCGTTTAAAATTTGCCTTAAGTTCTTATATTTTGGTTTAGATAAATATTTAAATATTTTCAACAAGCTTAAGTTCTTATTTCTTTTTAATACATTTTTCAACATTTTCAACAGTAATTTTTGCAATTGCGGTAGTTTGATATATTGTGTATTAGAATATTTTCTTATTATTAGTATTATTTTATATTAAATATTAAATATCTATGCAAATTTGAATTGCAGTTAGAGCACTGATTTATTCTCACTTTGCTTGTGATTTATTCCCCATTTCTTATGAAGTTTGATTGCTTCTTATTTTTAATCTGGCAACATCCATCACAACTGTCGTCCTTTTAGAATTGATTTGCATCAACATTCAACACACACTTCAACTCTTCTCCAAACATTTAATAAATGTATTTATTTTTTATAGCTATCTACCTTTTAGTTTGGCTGCAATTGGTTTTCGGCGTTGTTTGGGCTCTTAAGCCATTTCAATTTGTTGTTGTTGAGCGTCCTTGTTGTCGCTGTTGTAGTTGTTGCACTTGTTACGCACCAAATTCGATCACTTCTTTGTGGGAATGCAATTAATTGCAACTACGCACACTTAATGGGTGCACTTTAATTAATCCAAACACTGGCCAAAAAATCGTTTGAAAAACACGCGCCGCCAATACAAAAATTGTTTGCTGTTGCTGATGCGCGCGATTGACAACGAACGAACCGAACGCCACAAGAAATTCCAACAGACTGCGAGAGCGTCAGCAACACCAGGGCAAAATGTGGGAGAGAAACAACGATGACGCAGCCAGCTGCTGCTGCTCAAAATGAACGCGCTCGCCGGCGTCAGTGGCGTCGCACAGTGGAACTGAGCCGATAATTCGAGAACAGATTGCTTATACATTGATATATGCCTCAATATTGAAGCAATATTAAAGGTCAATAATACGTTTTACTTTTTAAATGAAACATTGATTATTTTTCTTTAAGTAATAACAGTTTTAATTTCTTCATTCTGTATGTGTATATATCAGACTTGAGTTTTCAGCCCACTGTGCACAGCCGCCAGGGGGCCCAAGCAGCCACCTTATAAAGCGAATGATCGAATAAAAGAGAAATTGCAACAAGCAAACGACAGAGTCGCCGGCGTTTCTGCCTCAGTCGGCGTCAACAGCAGGCAAGGCAAGCCACCCGCTCATTCACGTTTTTGCTGTCTGCGCTGTGTGCTGTTGTGTGGGACACTAGCCACCACAACGAGAGCGCCAGAGAGCGAGAGTGGGAGAGAAGCAGTGTGCGCGTTGTTGTTTATTGCGTAGGGTGGGTTGGCTTGTAGAATTTCTGGACAGTGTTGTTGTTATTGTTGTTGCTGTTGCTGCTGCTGACTGCGCAGTCGCGCAGAAGCAGGTCAGTTTGTGTGGAGTCCGCTGCGCAACTTGATTTTTGTTGTTATACGTTTTTATGCGCGCCCGTCGGCGTCGGCGTCGGCGTCGGCGGGTTGACTCTGTTGGTAATGATCTTCGTGCATGTGGGTTGCTTGCTTGTGTTGTTGTTGTTGTTGCTGTTGGCGGCTATGTCGGCGACGGGGGACGTTTGACTGTTGCGTTCATTAGCGTGGCCGCTGCTTATTTTTTTTGGGTTCGTTTTCGAGGAGGAGGTGCTGATACATAGTCCAGGTAGACACAATATGTATGTGGCTGAGTATATATATAAATATATATATATATATAGGGTTGGGCAGGTAGTTGGCAGCTGGGTGGCGCTGGTGGCAGCGTGGGTAGCACTCGAATTGAGGTTAGGTTGAAGTAAACTCTGCTTATATTTTTCTGCCAATGATGCATATGCAAATCGCATGACTCACATGGGAAATACCTCAATAGTGCAGAAATGCACTTCACCACAACAACAACAACAGCAGCAGCAACATTGCGGCCGCGACAAGTCAATGAAATTGAAAGTTGATCGCAATCGATGGTTGTGTAAAGCAGATGAGGAAGAGGAAGCTGCAAATGATGCAGCGAAGAGAAGCTTTTCGCTTTTATTATAGCGGAAAGTTAAGGTTCTCCTTGTTGTTGCTGTTGTTGTTGTAATCAGAAGAAGCTTTGCAAGTGAATCCGGACGATGGCCAAAAATGCATATGCCACAAAGTCGATGTGTGCGCAGTTACTAAAGCAACGGTTAACTGAGCTTTTAGGTGCGCTATGTTAACAAAAAAATTATAATAATAAATAATAATATTTTAAATTTTAATTCATTCTCTCTATATCTAAATGTTTGCATAAGTACATAATAACTCCAGGAATGTAGTACAAGATATGCACAAATACATGTGTGGATCACTTCATCTCATTTCTTTGTTATCTACACTTTCTAGCACCCTCAGCATCGGATCGGAAATGCCTGCAGTGAAGCGCACTTGAGGAGCAGCGGGGACACGAAAAAAATAAATAAAAACAGGTTAGTCAGTGAAATGGAGCACCCTACTTTTAAACTTCATTGCCAATCGAATGGCGATCGCCGCAAAGGAGCTGCCTGAAAACCGGTTTGCAGCAGCAGCAGGCCAGCAGCAGCAGCCCTACCGAGACCAGAGTTAAGCAAGTGGCCCACTGGCCCAAGGAGAGCAGCCGACAACCAAACCGAGATCAAACTCGAAATCGAACGCGAACCGATGCCAAAATGATGCCTCGGCAATCTTCACATTGAGATCACAGCTGTTTCGTTTGTCGGGTGCACCACACACACACAGACGACACTGTTAACCTCTTGGCCATCCTTGGCCCATCCGATTGTGTGATATAACGTAAGCCCCCCGCGTAATGAGCCCAGGTCAATTACAAAACCTGCCAGAGTTAAAAAAATAAAACAAAACAACACATGGCTTCGAGCTGTGCCGAAAAGGAAACCTGTTGAAGCCCCGCTTCTTCTTTATCTACTTCGTCTTCTTCTTCTTCTTCGCCGCAGTCTGTGGGAGAAAGTGTCGCTGCATAGGGCTTCCTTTGCTGCCAGGCGCCAGGCTCCGACCAATACAAATCCCTGAGCAGGCTGCCAATTCACCATTCACCACTCTCCACGCTACATTCTCCACTCTCCACTCCGCTCGTCACGATTTGCTTGCACTTTGTCACGTCTCATTTAACAAAACAATCAAAAAAAAATAAAACGAGTAAAAATTATGGGGCGACACTGAGGAGGGGCCGAGCCGAGCCGAACCGAACCGAGCCTGACCCTCACAGCAACAACGGCAAACAATTGCCAAAGGGTGGGTTTCGATCGCACATATTCAATATGGCGTAGCGTGGGATGGCAACGAGTCCGACGCAAAGGGAGGGTGAGGGGATCGTGGAGCGAGTTTCGGGGAACGGTAACGCATGCGCAATTTGCCGACTAGAAAAAACTAAAAAAAAAACAAAAACAGAAACAAAGTTGGAATCGTGGGCGTGGGTGGGCCGTCCATCTATTCATGTCTATCTCTGTCTATCTCTGTCTCTCTCTGCCTATCCGCCTATTGTTGTTGCTGGCTTCAATTCCCGCCACATGTTTTTGCGGTTGGGCTGTGCTGTGCTCGCTTCTGAGTCACGGCTTTCTGGGCTATGGGCTATGGGTGATTTTGTTGTTGTTGCTTTTTAGGTTTTCTTATATTTTTTGTTGTTTTTGTCGTTATTAGTGGGTAACTTTGCCGTCAGCTCAAACTGGAATTTAAGCAACAGGAAATGGTCAGTATTTTGGATGCGCTCGAAATTGAGTTACTTGATTTATACTCTTTATTCTGCAGCAAACATAAATATGTTTAATAATCATAATAATAATGTTGGTATCAAGTGTTGACTTTACAGGGCATGATTTAATGGTTCATTTCAATTGTTTAATTGTAGTTTGTTTCGTTAGAGTTACCAGCAAATCAAGGCTAAATGGCAAATAACATATAGATCAAAAGTACACATTTATATATAATGTTGCATTTGAAGTACTGCAAAAGAGAGAGAGGCAGGCGTGAGAGAGTTCTTCAATAATGGCATGCAATTTATATATTTTACATCAATCACAAATAATAAATCAATCAAAATAGATTTCAAAGCCAGTAAGTGAACTTCAGTCAGCGTCTTCATCTAGTTTGCAGCTAATCAACTGCTGATTTGAGCAATTTGAAATCTAATCGCTTTATAATAATAGTTAAATTGTGTTAATTAAATGTTACGTGTTTTATGGGTGCTTGCTAAATTAATATAGAATGCTGCTAACAGGTTTTTTCATTTTTCTCCTTTTTTTAAGTGTAAGTTCTAAGAAATGTATACTGTTCCATTCGTGAATTGTCAAGATATGCAAATTAATAAATTCAAATGAGAGAAACAGTTGACTTTTTGGACGACAGGATTTCCATGTAGGGTTTCAGCTGTTGATGAATGAATTATTTTATCTTCCATTGAAATCCTATTAATCTATCAATTGTATATATTTGTATTTTATTCTTATATGCATTGACGGATGCGGCAGACTTATTAGATACAAGCACACATCGTGTGCAATCCCTTTGCCTTCTCTGAGATATATTTGTATTGTATTATTTACTTCGAGATATTTGTTGTAGTATTTTAAACCAGAGGCGACTGCAAATATTTCCTTAAGCCTTGTTGATTGCTTCGAAATAATTGAATATCTGTGAAAGCATTTTAAATGCACTACAAGCCACAAATTTTTCATGTTTCACCCAACCCAATGATGAGTGATATATATATATATATATATATAGATATATATATACATATGTACTTTCTTGTATATTTATAATCCCAATGCTTAAAGCTTTTGCATTTTATATAAGCTATAAATCATGTATGCAATAGATGCATATACATATATAGAAATAAACCCACACAGACCCCAACCCCTAATAAAAATATTTATTTGCATTGCCTAGCAACAACAACAACAACAACAATAATAATAAAAATAGCACACTGAAAAAATATTAGTTTTGCCGAAATGCCTGAGCATAAATAACAAAATTCAAATTATATAATAAAAACACGCACACACACACACACTCACATACACACACATGCAGTTGCATTCCCATATGCCGCATATGTTGCATAAAAAGCAATAGCAAAAGCACAAAAACCATATGCAATAAACGCCCCACAACGCCCCCAAATAGTGAGAGCGAGAGAGAACGAGAGCGAGAGAGAGAGAGCGAGAGAGAGGGAGAGAAGAATGCAATTGCATTTTTGAGAGAAATAGCAAATTAAAACTATATAGCACTAAAATAAGAGAGGGAGAGAGTGAGAGAGAGAGAGAGAGAGAGAGAGAGTGGGAAGCAGTACAAAGCTTACTCACTCTCTCCCTCTCTCTCGCTCTCGCTCTCTCGCGCTGTGTGTTGTCAGAAACTGCAACAATTCCTTTGCAGTTTTTTGATGCTCGCATTGAGTAGAACAAAAATTGTTATAGACACAAAATTTATGATATGCGCCGGTGGTAGGAAAAACAACCACCCAACCAAAACTGCCTTCCTTCGTTCATTCGTTCGTCCGTTGCTTTTTCGTAGTTTTCCAAAATGCCAAAGCTTTAATTTTCAATGTGTGCGTGCGGGAGAGTGAGTGTGTGTCGGTGTGTGTGTGCGTGTGTGTGTGTGTTGGTGTGAGTGTGTGCATTGTTTTGGGGGTTGGTTATTTTTGCTGCATAAAGCGCCTGCTCCAATACTCCAAGCCATACCAATA